AACTGTTCTAATCCATAAGGGGTAATATTGTCTAGTGTTATAAATCATTCTTAGTTTATAAACGTGGTCGTTAATAGGCGGTTATGTCTGTAAACTGTGTAATGTGTTACATTTTAGTGACTGTAGTTGAGTGAATTTCACGTGTCTTGTCATTCAATGTAACATGCAGACAGCAGACTTGTATGTGTTCTAAAGTGAGAAAAGGGAGTGGATTCGTAATGTATTTTACATCATCACTCATATTATTGTTTATATAAAGGGGATATGTGCTAAAGTTAAAGTGTTTGTATATAAAAGTTATCTATTAGGGTGTCACTTTGGCAATTGTAAACCCTGATTATGCAAAATGTTTACAGCTGTAATATGCATGTACTTTTATCGATTAGTAGTAAATGCAGAGACGAGAAGCAATCACAAATGCGTCCTTCTCTTCATTGTCTTCTCTTTACCGGAGTACTACAGGAACAGCGCTGACCATCGCCCCAGAGTCAGTCTGACCAGGAGTGGGAGCCAGTTACATTAGCAGTGTTGGGGGTAACTCATTACAAGTAACTTGTATACATAATCAATTACTTTTTCAAGTAACGAGTAAAGTGTAACATTACTTTTTTTTTATTTACAACTAAATATCGGAGTACTTTTTCCAATAAGTGATGCAAGTTACTTTGTTTGCCCATTTATTGGCTAACAGCTCTCTTGTCCCCATGTTGAGACAAATCGATGTGCAGAGGAGTTAAACCAGAAAGACTCGGGAGAATAAATACTGTAACAATAAATACATTTTTATTGGCCAGCAAGCAATGAAGTTCTTTGGCGTAGGCCCCGTCCAATCTTAGAAGAAATGGTTCTATTTAGAACCAGAAATGGTTCCATCCCCCACTTCATATATGGAACTCCAAAATGGTTCTATATAGAACCATTAATGGTTCTATATAGAACCATTTTTTTTGGTAAAAGGTTCTATTGGCCAAGTATGGAACCCCAGGGTTCTATATAGAACCCAGAGGAACCCTTTTTTGTGTATAGAACATTTTAGGGGTTCCAAATACGTAGCGCTGATAGAACCTCTATAGAACCTTTTCTTAGCTCGCAATCCGAGGGTCCGGACTCTGCATTTCCTTCCTGAAGAGGAAGGCAGGGGTGCAGCCAACCCCCTGGGAGGTATAGGAAGGGAAGGAACCATCTTGGAGGTGGTGGGGAGGATGGAGGTCAATGGAAGTGTCAGCATCTGCGAACTCAAACACGTGTACCGGTCTTTTATACAGTAAGTATTAGACGCGATTGGATAGATGAGAAGGTAATTAGTGACGTGACAATTGAGTCTTCCTGGCAGAACTTAACGCTAAAGCTTCCTTTTCTGTGTTATTGTACATGATGGTTATTGTAGTTCTAGTCTAAATGTGAGTGTGCATTTACTCCTCACTTAGACAAAAAAAAAATTTCAATTTTCTTCAAATCAGTGAAATGTAGATGATGCAAACCTCCAATAACTAAATGTTAAATAAAACTGACATTTTGGAATTAATGTTATTGATTGCGTCAAGATTACCTCTGTCACCCTTACAGTAAAGCTCCTCCAGACCAACCTCTGATGAATATCTGCAGCCCTTTGAAGGAAATTAAGATTATTGGAATGGTTTACAAAAAAAGTACATCTATGCTTTATTTGACTTTTTTTACTTATTTTTTTTAAGCCATTTTGAGTTTATTAAAATTACTAAGCGTTGGGATCTTCAATTTATAATGCCTCTAATGATATCTGTGAAGAAATATTGCACACATGTGACCTATATAATCAGTTTGACCAATTATTGTTCATTGAACCCAGGTTAATCTCTGACAGAACTCACACATACTGTAATGTGTTGTTAACAAGGTCAGCTGACCTCAGCATTAGGTTAAGTACACAGACGCCAAGTTTAGTTGAATAACTCGGTTTAAGTCTTGCAGTATATACCAGTAGCTTGTACAGGGTTCCCAAAAGAAGATAATTTGCAACACCAAAGCATCCATAGACTTGAGAGTGAGGACAATATTTTAGCGTGATCTTTATAAGTGCATGATCTTTCTTAATGTAGCATGATTTTTCTTTTCTAAATGGGTGGTGATGGTGCAGTGGATAAGACACATGCATTTGGTGTGAGAGACCTGGATTCAAATCCACTGTGAGAGACCAATGTTTCCCTGAGCAAGACACTTGCGACCTCTGACATGTATAGCAATTGTAAGTGGCTTTGGAAAAAAAGCGTCAGCTAAATGAATAAATGTAAAATGTAAATGAAAAACGTTCAGTCATCAGATCAGAACAGTTAATCCACAATATTAAAGTCTTTATTTACCCATATTTTGATTTTTTTGAAGTTCAGTGTCTTATGTAGATTAGTGGAACAAGTCTGGTCTCAGGAGAGCAGTCACTTCCTGTATTTGTTATAGAAAACTCTTGTATATTACAAACAAGTTCTGATGGATGTTTCCCAGCCTCCTGATGACTCATTTGATGAGACTAACATGAGATATTTTTGATGTTGATATGTTCTCTGAACTTCCACATCTTCAAAGTCAGTGTCTCTCATCTAAACATGGGAAACAGATGTTTTCCTTGTTCTCATAAGTCTTTATTGACTAACTAACTATTGAAAGCTTTGACATGGTTTTCATTTTTAAATTTACTGGGCTGTTTTTTTAAATATTTTTTTTATGAAGAACACATTATGGTTTATACACAACATACACAGCAAGTTGTCTTAAAGATATATCATTATTTTTAAATTGGACTCTCATTATTGGGGTCGTAAAATTTGTTATCAATGTGTCCTGTAACAGGATCCAGGTTCCAGGTTGTGCCAGTAGGCTTCATTTGTGATGTTAGTTTTTGGGGACGTTCCAGACCTTTGTTGGGAGAGTGAGTTTGCTGGATTATTCATTAAACATTATGAATAATTTGTGTCTGTCTGATTGGCCCAGACGGTACACATTTAATCAAAAATACTTTGAAACCCGAGAAAAAACAGTGAGACCTTCACCCGCTGATCAGATTGGGCCAATCGATCTGGGCGTAACACAGCCTTGGTGAACATAAGACACTTATTTCAACATTTTAAAAAATCCTTTTGAGCATGTGTAAAGTCAGTTACAATTCATTCCAATGGACTCTAATGGAAACATTAATTCATTGGAAACACTTTACAGTAAGGTTCATTTTGGCTACATTAGTTGATGAACTGCACTTATACAGCATTCATTCATCTTTGTTAATGTTAATTTCAACATTTACTTATACTTTATTAAAATCTTGTTAACATTGGTTAATGGACTGTGAACTACCACGAACAAACAAGCTGTATTTTTATTAAGTAAAGTTGTCAAAGAATAATAAATACAGTAACAAATGTATTGCTCATTGTTAGTTCATGTTAATACATTAACTAATGTTAACTAATGAAACTTATTGTAAAGTGTTACCAAGTCATTGTATTTTCATGCTCCAGAACTGCTCTGATGATGTGTAACTCTGGAAGCCTTTAGAAACACTGGGATGCTGTTGTGCTGCATAAAGAGCAACATGGTCAGCTAAATAGGCTTTTCTGGTGAACCAAATCTAGTCCATCATCAGCCCCAAACCAGAACAAACCCTTCTGGCCCTCCAAGCTGATTTCTATTTTCAGCATTGCATCTGAACATTAAGAGATGTTGTGTACACTGTAAAAAAATTCCGTAAAACTACGGTACAATGTAGCATATAAATTAGAAGGATTTTTCCGTTTTTGTCTTTTACAGGTCATTTACCCGTATTTTGAATTATGCGTTGCATTGTGGGAACAATAACCTGTCGGCGCGAAATGTTTTAGCCACAACTGCCATTACACACGCAGATGACCGCGGCCAAAGTTGCTCATTAAAGTCGGATTTCGAGTGTGTGGAAGCCATTCTGACACGTCTGTGGTAAAATACGACATTTATGTTCAAATAAGCTGTTAACGTAACGTCATTTATTTGCCATCTGGCATGTTGGGCAAATTAATGTCGGATCGGAGCTGTCGCGTTTATCATTTTATGCATATCGTCACACATTAAACGATTTAGTATCGTGGAGGTTCCCTGATATATGTGTTATTCTAGTGTGTCCTCGTTTTACTTTGGTTTATTTATACTTTTATTTGTCGGCGATGCGGTTTATTTCTTGACGAGCGAATCCGTTAACCAGTTGTGATAAAATGCAGTAACGTTGCTAACGTTGCTGTTTTTGGAGCAATTGAATGCCTTCAAACAAAAGCTAGCAGAGGAATCGTCAAGAAAAGTAAAGGCCGTCAAGACTTGCTTGATGTAAAAGGCATGAAGATACAACGTGAAGATATTGTGTGTGAAGATGCAGTAAGAGTTGGATCAAGGAAAACACCACCACCTTTTCTGCCAGATGAGGTAAGTTAACGTTATGTTTAGGTTAAACTTGTTTTTGTTTTAGATGACACGACTTTTAAAACTAAAATATTGACCATGAAATATTAATTTACATTTAACATGACTGCTAGTATCTACTCTTCTGCCTGTAACGTTAGTCATTCTTTACCAGATCCCTCCTCAGTTTGTTTCATAGTGTTTCTGTTGTTTTTATCTATTGACAGGAATTTGCTGCTGTAGTTTGTATCCCAAGCACCACCTGCATGCTGCCTAGGGGTTTGTATTTTGATTTATTAGCATTTTTTTTTATTATTAATAACTATGAGTGTTCAATACTGCCAACAGACATTTAAATTTACATAAAGTCTGAGGAAGAATGTTGATAAATAAAAATGTGGTTGCTGAATACCCGAATAAATGATGACAGAATTTTCATTTTAAAGTGAAATACCCCTTTAAAGCGGCTTTCTGAAGTGATCGTGTAATGTAATATCATTTTGTAATACATTTTTTCGTTTTTTGTTTAAGATCGGGTGGTGGACATTCAGGATTGCTGTCATTCAAGAAGTTATTACTTACCACATCTCTACCCCATTAAGGCGGTGAGCTACAAAATACCTGAAGAAAAAGGCACTTATCCTGGAGTTCATATAAAGGTAAGCAACACATGTTAATTAATTTAATTAAATGATTTATAGATTATGTTATTATGTTTCTGTTTATTTAGTTGACCATAATTAAACATATTATAATGTATAGTTGAGCAGACAAGCTAATGCCAAGTTCACACTACAGGATTTTAAGCCCGATTTACGCCGATTTGCAAATCGTTGAGTCGCCGACAGGTCAGGGTGTTATCGCGTGCAAATCGCGGGGGGTTAGCGGACGATGAACGCTTGCCAATCTGTTAGTATGAAAAAGCCAACAACGCAGCGAAAACGCTCGCAGATGCCTCACAGACTCGTCGCCGAGCCCAGAAAAATATCTAGCCTGCTAGATATCCAGAGCCGTCGCGCGACTCAAACTCAGTGATGTCATGGGTACAGCCAATCATAGCAATGCATAGGTTGAGGACACCAAATCTTCTCTCTCTCTTTTTTTCCTCAGAGCAGATCGTAGCGCAATCGGAGTTGACAACAACTCTGTCACCCAACGATTCTATCTTATCTACAAACCACGTTTTGTCACGAAAATCCACGCGAAACACACGTGAATATGGACATCAGACAGAAACTAGTGCTGCACACTGTTTGCGTGACGATCTGCTCTGAGAAAAAATGCAAAAAATAAATAAACTAAGATTTACCTGGTGTCTCAACCCATGCGTTGCTATGGTTGGCTGTACTCATGACATCACTGAGTTTGAGTCGCACGACGGCTCTGGATATCTAGCAGTCTAGATATTTTTCTGGGCTCGGCGACGCGTCTGCGAGCATTTTCGCTGCATTGTTGGCTCTTTCATACTAACAGATTGGCAAGCGTTCATCGTCCGCTAATCCCCCGCAACACCCTGACCTGTCGGCGAGCTCAACAAATTGCAAATCGGGCATAAATCGGGCTTAAAATCCTGTAGTGTGAACTTGGCTTTAGCATTTTATATAGTGTTTGAATTTGAAAGAATTAGGGATGGCTGATTATTTATAGTTAATTTAACGAATGTAAAATATTTTACAATTGTTTTTCAACCTCAATCTGGTCTGCATGATACTGTGTAGTTAATTTTCCTTCATTTACTTTCTTGTGTAGCTAAAATACATCTTTTTTTCTCCATATCCAACTTTTCTGTGCAGAAATCCTGAACGAAGATCGAAGTGGCTGAGATGAAGGAAACCAAACGTATTACATTCCTTCAAGACTGCTGAAGTCCCTGTATGAAAAACTTCGAAAAACCATGTAAAGTTTTAGCTTTTGTCAAATCTGAAAATGGAACTTTAACTGAACATACCGATCACTCCTTCATTAGGTGATAGACGGGGATCGGCACTTCCTCATCAAACAGATCCTGGATAATCTACCCGATGAATATCTACATCCAGCCCTGAATCATCTACCTGTGTCGGCACGGAGAGAACAACGGCAACCTGGTGGGACAGCTGGGCCGTTATACAGGCCTCTCGCCGCGAGACAGACAGGTACGGTTAACCGTAGACGGAACCATTACAGTACACGGTAACTAAATTTGAAACATCATGATGGATAAGCCACACACTGTTCTCTCCCCTCTGTAGTTTTTGGTGGCTAAACCCAAGTCTGCAGTCCTTGAAGAATTAACTACACATTTCTTGGTGAGTGATGAGTTCTCCCCACCTAGAATCTTTGTTTTCTTTGTTTTGACACATACTGTATGTCAATACAGTATGTCCTGGCCTCACAAAATAGTGTTTTGTATTTATTTTACAGCCTTCATCTTACCTGAAGACAAGAAGAGCCCCACCCCCCCACCCCGCCTCAATCCATGTTCCTCTGAAAAACTTTTTCCCTTCACACATTTTAAAATATTTTTTCAGTGGATGCAATTGTTGTAATGTTAACAAAGTGTTGTAAATTAGCAGACTTGAAACAATTTAGAGATGAGAAACTATATATACTTTTCCCTTTTGTGTTTTTTTTTTTTCCCTTGTATTTTAGTTTTCATGGAATTGTTGTAGATCTATAAGTAAATAAAACTATTTTTTAATCACAGAAGATTTGTTTGAAATGTTTTCAACAAGAGTTATCATTACACTGTTAACTAACAGAAAAGTAAAATTTCTATTTGCTGTAGGTGTATTGCATAAATTAATCTTTTTTATTTTTACTGTAGGAAAACCATAAATTAACAGAAATCTTTCATTAAATACGGAACAAAGTCCGGGTAATGAGCTGCCAGTACATTTTCTGTTATTTTACGGATTTATTTAATATTTCCGTTTTTTTACTATAGATATACCATTAAATAACAGAAAATTTATGTTTTATTTAAAGTGGGCATACTGTGAATTAACAGAAAATGTCCGTTTTTTAACGGGACAAAGTCCGGGTAATGAGCTGCCAGTACTTTTTCTGTTATTTTACGGAATTATTTCTTAGAGTGTACCTTGCAATGTTTACTGCTATAGTAACAAAATAATATCATAAGTTCAGAAGAGGGAACAGACTCTGCATTCACTGGGCTGGAAGCACTGACACAGTGTGACTCGAGAGGAATTTCATTTCGTGGGATGTAACTGTATTAGCTGCATGGGGGCTGCAACACGGGCACTGGTGAGGATGTCAATTACACAAAATACTGACCTCACGCTTTCAGCTTGCACCATTTATTACAGCAGTCAAGAGTCTGTAATCACAGAGTAGACCTTGTGTCTTTACTGTGGATTAATCTGAAAGAGTGGTCTTAAATTAAAAAATTAGGTCAAGACATCCTAGTGAATTGGTGAATGTTGTTCATTGATTGAATCAGTGCTGTTGAGGAAAATTATACCAAAGAATGTTTTTTTTTTTTTTTTTTTTTTTTTTTTTTTTTTTTGTAAAAGTTGTTCGAAAAGCCGTTTCACTGGGATATAGGCTACATACATCACAATGGGCTCTATGCACGGTGGTATTTCCGGTCTATGCTCGATAACTTCATCGTGGAGTCCGATGCGATAGCCTACCGAGAATTTATATTGAATTTTATACTCCATGGTTATACTAAAGAAACGTTAGTCACAAAAACAGACAAAACAGACACCCCTCGTTGTGTGTATATGCTTCTTTTTAAACGTATAGGCTATTAAATAAACATAATATATAAAATTACATCTAAACGTATGAAAGTTTCGTTTCAAAGACGGGAGGACAGTAAATGTTGAAGACTCTGCCATAATCCCGTTTTCCTCGTTTTTCCTCCGCTTTAATCTCCCCAATCGGAAACTGACGAGCATCCTGCATCAATGCGGAATTTATGCGTGCCTACGTGCCTACTGGGAAGCGTGAACTACTGGTGGTATCAGTTTTTCGATGAAGTAATTTCTTATTCAGTCATTTCTTATTTAGAGTGAAGTACTTATTTTGAAAAAATGAGTACTTCACGACTGCTCAAAACTAAAAAAGTAGCCTATGTTTTATATAGTGTGTAGTATGCGTGTAATCCGGACGTGCAGTTCCCAAATTGTCATTATCATGTGACCTACCAGTGTCAGTTACGTCGCCTCATGCCATTCACAAATCCTCTCCCTTGGCCTCATGGGATAGTAAAGTGTCCATCGTGGTATGGGCACACTTCTGAATCTCGCCGAAAGTAAGTTATCCGTGTACCTTTTACCTAGGCCTACTCTTTTATGAGTAAGCCTACTTCTTTTGTCACATACTGTTTTTCAACTATGAATGCGATTTCGGATGCAGCCATGACCTTTACAGCTCGGGTGATTAGCGCAAAAATATTTAAAATCAGAAAAGCTAATAATTTTGTGAGGCATTGAAATGTTTTTTGAGGTCTTGGTGTAATAGTACCTTGTGAAAAATTATAATGGACTAAGGCAAAACAAACAAACAAAAAACCCTAGAGAGTAAACAGTTCACTATGGGACAAACTCTTGTGAAAAACTCTTTTTAGCTCTATTTAGATCTTTTATGTTTAAGACTATTCCACCTACATTTTACCCTAGCATGAAAGAGACGGATTGTTATTATTATGTTCTGACTTTGTGGACTAGGAAGAAAAAGACATTCATGCTACAGCTAGTGTGTTGACCCTTGACAAATCTTTAGGATCTTCAGTATGACATTCACTTGACACCTATACAATACCTTTGCTCATTCTCAAGAAGATCAAAGAAATGAGGGGAAAGGCACAGAAAATGTGCTAAGATTCTTTCTTTCTTTCTTTCTTTCTTTCTTATGACTTTCAGTTCATCATTGATATGGACTTATAATTGTTATCATGAATTATGATGATTGATATGATTAATATTATATGATATAGATATAACTATGTGACATGATCATTAAATCATTTTGAATGTTCAAGGTGAAACGCTAGAGAGGCTTTGGCATGAGGAACCATCATAAAACACTTGTATCCTTTAGTGCTGTGAACAGAAAAACCCATTATGTTGAACACACGGTATGTGGAAAATTACTGAAAAAGTGGATGCGGAATCATGGATGAATGTTTTTATTCTTTACAAAAAAAAAGGTAATGGCACAAAAAGTTGTGAATAAAAGATATAACTACCCCTGCATGAAGGCACAGTGAGACACGGTTGGCTCGGGATACAGTGTCGTTGTGTATGGGGTGTTCTATGACTGCAAGCTGTTGAAATTAGTCATTTCAAACCACATGACAAGAAAACTTGCCAAGAGAATTAACTGAAAATAGAGCCTCGTGTGAAACACAAGAAGCATATAAAGCAAGAAGTTAGGGTTTTACAGGGTAAAAGGATTTGTTATTCCCTAAAAGTATATTCTTCCATGGTCAGTATTCTTAGATAATATTTTGTGGTTACAATAAATCTTTGATACAGTGTCCAGTACGGCACCCACAGAACACTAAATCTCAAACATATCAAGTATTTCAGTCCTGTCTGTTCTACTGACAGCTGAGATGTTACTGCAAAACAATGTATCACAATGGGAGTATTTAATGGTTTGTGTTCATCCCCCTCTACTGGAGAGGAAGGTGTGCATTGTATATCAGGCCTGTCAGCAAGAGTTGATTGTAATTAAAAAAAAAAAAAAAAAACATTTCCAGAAATGATTCACCAACACATAGCCTACATTTTTTTTAAAATTATTTACACTTTTTCCAACAAGGAGTGTATTCATGAGTATATACACTCTGAATTTACCTTTATGACACTTTTGAAAGACTTTTTAATATAAAATATGTAAAAAACATTCATATAAATTATACATATTTGTTTTGAGAAAAATATTGCCAGTGTCATGAAAAGAATAGGGAAAAAAGTAGTATTAAAACTATGAAATATTCAATACTGACAGATTTAATGTTTGGCTAATGATAAAATCACTGTGAGCAACACTGATATCAAAACTCAGCAGAATAATGCGATGAGATGAAAAACTACATATTTAACACATAAAATTACAAATAAACACTGTCCCTTAGAGTTACATATCTCAGCAATAAGGCAGCTGATGCCACTCTCTTCAAGTCTTATTGGATAAATCTAGGTCTCTGGCCTGTCTCCATTTAAATGATTAATATGGATCACGTCTGTTTACACCTGTTATTAAAATACGTTTTCGTCGATCTGATCACAATTGGACTGCTAAATGAGAAGGAAATGAAAAGAATCCTCAAATGTGCTGTGCTGGCCTGCAGCTGGAGTGGGACTTCCTGTCTTGAGCCCATTTGTACAGTTTCTGTAGCTCTAGACAGCTTCTCCTGACAGAAATGCTCTCCTCAGTGTATGTTCCTGCATGATGCTACGAGTAAATGGTGATGACCTCCCTGCCGCCACCTCGGACCAGCAGCACCCGCTCCAATCCATCTGTGAGGACCTCCAGGAACTCCATGTCTGAACTCAGAGTGAAGGAAAAGTGTGGAGAACTGCAACTGCAAGGTGACATTTAAAGAATAACTCTCAGTCTGAAAGAAAATGACAGACTATGTTATCACGATTCTTTCCATTTTATCCATATAACAGCCCCTCTAAGTAGATGTGCCACTGTCTGCATTTCAGCTGATGAAAGGATACAGTTCTCATCCCCGCCCTGGTTTTTGGGTGGTCCTGGCATGTTCAGCAGCACCAGTTGGGCTCCCTGGGATTTGTTAACTACAACCTCATTCAGTTTCACTGCAGTGTGCATTCTTCTCACATTAGTCTGATCCCTGTGAAAAAGCCAGTCATTCACATTTAGCATCAAAACTTAGTTTTAAGATTTTAGACTTTGATAAATATGAGAAATCGTATATGAAAATAACAACTCAATAGGGAAATAAATATAAGAAATAAAATATTCGTATATGTCATTTAAATATTTTTTACAAGCACTATCAAAAGTTTAGGGTCAGTTAGATTTGTTAATGTTTTTGTAAGAGGCCTCTTATCCTCACTAAAGCTGCATTTATTTGATCAACAATACAGTGAAAACAGTAATATTGTGTAATAATATTACAATTTAAAATAACGGTTTTTCTATTTTTGCACTTCGGTGTCACATGATCCTTCAGAAATCATTCTAAAATGCTGATTTTCCATTCAAAAAACATTTCTTATTATTATCAATAGTGTTGCTTACTATTGGTTGTGGAAACTGGTGATTTTATTCTATTTGATTTTTTTTGCAACATTATAAAAGTCTTGTTACTTTTTTATTAATCCTTGTTGAATAAAAGTCTTGATTTCTTTAAAATTAGTAATAATATTAAGCCTTGACCCCAAACTTTAGATTTTTAGTGTATGTTAGTGTGTGGAGTGTGTGTCCGAAGAATTCATTGTTAAAGTTCCTTTAGCAGACATTCATACTTGTTTGTTGATGCTATCAGTGAGCATATTGTTTTGGTATTTCCTTTAAAATGGTTTCATATATGATGGGTATCCAGTGCTAGAAATTATTGATAACCTCATTGATAGAGATGTGGAGACGTATTAGAAGTCTTTAGAATTACCCAAAGGCCAGTTTTTGCAAAGGAATCATATACTGCTAAATGAGTGTAATGTAAAATAAATGTACAATTCATATAAATGTTAATATTAAACATGAATTAAACAAAAACATCTCAACAGCAAAAAACAAACCAACAAACAACACAAAAATGGGTTGTTCTTATCATTAATGCAATGAAATGGACTCAGCACTTAAACGAATGAATACCATAATGATACAGTAGCTGCTAACTGTAGATGTTATCTCTAAGAACAAAGTTAGTGTTGATACACATGCAGACAGAAACATCTCTGTCACGACTATTCATGCTGACACATGCCGTTGGCTATGACTCACACTGACTTAAGCAGGCCACACACAGAGACACACACCAAAATCATGCTGCATGTTTAGTGTGACACACATGCAACACATCCTGTTTACATCTACTACTGTAATACAGACCAGACAACTAATGCCAGCCCTTTAAGCACATCAACCACTTGCATAAAAGTCAAAGGAACTTACAGATTCTCCCACTCTCTAGAAGGACAAAACAAAATATCTTGGTGTGAAAAAAAAAAAACTAAACCATTTAATTATGAAAGATGACACAACCGTTCAGATAAACTGCAAAAATGGATTTGATCTATGAACTCACGGTTTCATATTGAAGATGTCCCGCACAGCCATGTTGGCCTCCCGAAGGCGGTTGCGCTCACTAATCAGCTTCTCTTTGGTCCAGGTCATATGGACCCTGTCGGACGTGGGTGTGGGCTTGTCGTTCTGAACGGCATGTGACTTAGTGTTCCTGTCATGAATCAGCTGAGGCTGAAAGAGCAAGACACAATGCTTAAGTTTCAACAATAAACTGCATTAACGTTAGGTAAAAATGCTGCTGGGAAGCAGGTTTACAGGACCTAGATAGACAATCTTTGTTTAAAGACTGTGCTGAAAAGATCAGCTTGGGCCAATGTGAATTAACATGGTGGTCCAGGCTGGTTGCAGATCAAGGTGATTTACAAAGTAAGTTTTGCTCAATAAGCAATCAGTATTTTATACCAGCTGTGCTGATCTTTTCAGCAGGGGAATGAGTGTTGCAGGAAGGTTGCGATACCCACAAACACAAGTTATGGATTAGTAACCAGACTAATGAGTCACTGACCGTTAAGATCAAACACTCTACAGTACATAATACACGTATACATTTACATTTATTATGTCAGAGGTCGCACGCCTCTGGAGCAACTAGGGGTTAAGTGTCTTGCTCAAGGACACATTGGTGTCTCACAGTGGATTCGAACCCGGGTAACTCACACCAAAGGTATGTGTCTTATCCACTGCGCCATCACCACCCCAATAAGTATGTATACACTACTAATCAAAATTTTGGGGTCAGTATGATCTATTTGAAAGAAATTAATACTTTTATTTGACAAGGATGCATTTAATAGATCAGAAATGACAGTAAAAACAAATAAATGCTGTTCTGTTGAACTTACTATTAATCAAAGAATAATATAAAAAAAGGTTTACAGTTTCCACACAGTTTGCCCTTTTTTTTTAAATAATAAAACTACACAATGCTAGTGTAGTTTTATTAAAGCAGTATATTTAGTAGAGCTGCACGTTTTCACTCAAACTTCAGAAGACGAGAGACTCATGCTCTTAACTCATGCTCTATAATGACATGCATGACATGCTGTAAACAAATGAAATCTTGACATTTTCAGGGCCACAGTCATTTTCATTGCCCTGCTGTGCTTGTTGCTAAATACTAAGGAATTTTCAAATATATGAGGTGAAAACCATAGCAGAATTATAGTTGCAAAAGGCATCTCTTGATGAAAGCTGTGGCTCTGTCATGTCTCACAATGTGAATGGATTACCACTTTTGGGGCTGGTGCCAGAAGCCATTGCCCAATCTGGAACAGAGCTGCGCTTTAACACGCAAAAAAAAAAAAAAAACCCTGATGTACAAATCCTAGTCTCTCGAACAAGAGAACCTGTGATGTCAGTGGGCAGAAATTCCACAGCTCCCAAATCTCTGAGCAAGTACCAACCCTAGTTGAGCACTGGCTCTGGCTCAGGCACCAGCCCCAGTAAAAAAAGAGGTGGTTTGGATGGAGCAGTTCAGCAGAGTTATACAGGATGGTTATCTAGCCTTGACAGAGAGTGAAAATAGGTGATCGGTGAGAGGAAAACCCCTGAGCTACCTCGTCCAGAATTACAGTTGGCACTTGTGACTTATTCTTGTGAGATGTTTTCTGGTCGCAGGGCTTCCTCCTGACGGAATTCCGGGATTCATCTGAAATGCTTTGAATCTGGCAGTCGCCACAGAGCAAACAATCCAAAATTGTTAAGTAGGAGGAAGAGGCTTTATGTAAAACAGTGCTCTAACTTACTCTAATGCAAGTAATGCCTTAACTTATAAAACTTAAATCTAAAACGTATGATTTTGTGTGAAGTGTATTGACTGCAACCACACTGATTTAGTCCCATAATAACATGACAGCAATGCCAAAAGAACAGATTGGTCGAGAAATATTACCTCTCTCTCCCGCTCTGTCTTCGAAAGCTGCATCTGCTTCAGCATCTGAGAGCGTTGTTCCATCACAAGGGTCTTCTCATAGGTGAAGGCCGAGATATCGCCTGCGTGCTACAGAGATAATGACATAGTGGCCAGCAGTGTTGGGAGTAACGCATTACAAAAGTAATACATTACAGTAACATATTACTTTTTGCTGTAACGCAGTAGTGTAAGGCATTACTAATCAATTTTCAGTAATATTTTACTCGTTACATGTTCAGTGAGGCTTGTATTATAGTTGTATTACAGTGTATTGTCTGCTTTTACTTCTTAAAGGCAACAGACTATGTGAAAGTTTTAAAGCAGTCTTTCAGTGCCAGTTCAGAGAGGTCGCGTCTGTAACATTGTTTTTTCCTCATAAATGCGAACACGAAAACTAAAATAAAATGAACATTTTAAGTTCTATGGAGACTGGAGTGCCAACCCTTCCTCATCCGATTTGCGCAGTGTAATTAACAGAATTACAAAAAATATATTTTGCCTCCTATTTTTTGTCACGCATGAATGTGTGTCTTTTTCCTAATATTAAAAAGAAAACATAGACTGATATTTGTCTAATGTCTGGAGTCCTTTAAGGAAGTAGCCTATATACGTTTCAATACATGAATTTTCTGAGAATTTTTATTTCAAGTTTTGACTGCAAATGTCATTGACTTCCCCAATTTTAAATAATTTATCCTCAACTAGTTTTGTGGTGTAGGTCTACGTATTTTATAATGTTAACTTCAAATAATACTAATAGCCTAATTTAAAGATAAGGCAGCATTGGATATGGACGGTAAGGAGAATAACGCTGGAGTTGGAAGAGGTGTGTCGCGATTCTGTAGGTTCGTGGATGTGGCGAATCGCGATTTCGGTTTCATATTGCATATCGTTACAGCCCCAAAGTTAAGTTCTACTTAGTTATTTTGGTGAAAGTAACTCAAAAGTAATACATGAGTAATGTAACGCATTACAATTATGAGACAGTAATATTGTAAGGTAATGAATTACTTTTAAATAACAGTAACAAGTAATACCTAATGTATTACAGTTTGGAAGTAACTTGCACAACACTGGTGGCCAGTGAGGTCATACCTAAAAGTGCCTAAAAATTCCAGTAGCTTGCAAACATTCCATCATTATAATATAATATCATAATATAATTGTAATGGTATCCCACCATTTCCACAACTTCCACCTTCGCTTCAAGACGCAAGTGGTACAAGAAGGTCTGCAGGTCTTTCTTCATCTGGATGCTGTTGTCATCCATCTGAGCCACTGTGAAGATCCTCATCTTACACTTTCTCCAAACCTACATGATTGCAGGGCAGGGAAAAGCACTGTGTGAAATCTACAGTTGAATAAAAGAGCAGCGCTGCCGTATCAGACATTCTGTCGCCTTCTACCTTGTGCTGGCGGAGCAGGAACGGAAGAAGCATGAGTAGACCACCATCATGGACAATCCACCAGACATCAATGGTACCCTCAGCTAACCGGTCCTGGTTTGTGGGAAATGTATCAATGTTTTTTGCCACTAACAGGGCCTGGTGGGCAGCTGTTGTCTCTCTGATGGTTTCTTTTGGGGGGTAAAAATGTAATAATTTTTACTATTTTGATTGATATTTCATGAAATGTTTTTACACCATTGTGAACAACATAACTGATCTGGAATTATTTGAATTACTCCTATTTAACCAGCTTTTTTTTCCTCTGTCTTTGAGACTTAAAGCCTTCAACAGTTCGCTCATAATAAAGCTCAGCTAGCGTCTTAACTCTTATAATCATCATCAATAATCCCTGACCTCATTGCCTTAAGCTGATTATCTGACTTTCTAGCAGCTTAGTATCAGAAATGTCAAGTGCGCACCAATGAAGTTCTTCCAAGAGAGGGAGCTCTCTGACTGCTTCCAGTGTGCGGGCCAGGCCACCAGCACAGCATTGTGTTTCATGCCACCCAGCCCTGCGGACTGGATCAGGTGAGAGAAACCATCCCGCTGATTAGAGGACACCACCACATGACAGAAACCCTTAGTTTTTTCTTTTGCCATGGCTGCTTTGATATTCTGTAAAAGTACAAAAACATGGATATATGTTAATAACACTCAATGTATAATAGATTTTAATACAAAATGTAAATTCAATAAAATGTTCTGACTATCAAGCAGAACTTTGTTTAACATAAAGAAAACATTGACTATAGGTAGATTAAAAATGACTGGAAGGTCAGGACTTGAAGGGGAATTTGTTTTTGTGACTGTCATGCAATGTCACCACAAGCCATAAACTTATTTTCTCTTGTGCAATCCAGTGGGTTAGGTTAGTCCCAAGGGCATACAATGGTAATGACTTGCTTCTTGTAGGGTTTGAGACAGAAACCTTCTGGTAAAACCAGCACTGAGTATCAAAATGTTCCATAAACTGTGTTAATCTTTGATGTGATACTATAGCCCTAAATTGGTGAAAATTTTGGCAACATATAATTGTAAGACTAGAAAAACTGGAAGCATCCTAATCTACATTTCTTTCCCTCACCCCCACTCCTTCTACCCCATGCAAAGATCACCAAAAACTCACTGAAGAATCTAAATGGTTTCATGTATAATGTTTCATGGTTGTAAGCTACCCTAAAGAGAATGTAAGAATTCTTTAATTTCCCTCTAATTGCTGACAATAGTGGTACAGAAATTACACACTTAACTGGATGACAGAATAATCATTGTATTTGGCAATCATCTCTGTATTTGACAACTATCAAGTTCTTTCACCTGTTCAGAGAGCTTAGCATCTGCCCCACGAGCCATATAGGTGCCCTCCAGCACTGAGCAGACGATGGTCAGGCCTTTCCCAGCCTTCAGCTGTGAGGTAAAGGAAAGCAGACGTGGATGTTTTACCCCCAAGTCAGAGTCCAACTTTAGGAGCACCAGCAGCTGAGGTCTGGAAGATGAGTTAAATGATATTTGCCTTAGATTTTTTTTTTCAGGTATGATGATTATTATATAGCACTGAAGATGCGCTGCGAATGCTTGCCTCCAGTTCTTTGTGTGAGGTGGCGCCTCTTCCAGTTTTATTAAGGCATAACGAGCTGCATTAAGGGATAATCCTCGAATCCCATCTCCCCATTCCTTCTCCGCCCTGAGGGTTGTTAGGGAAATGAAATCATCTCTTGAGTTAATATAGAAAATTTAACCTAAAAAAAACTGTGAATCTCATGGAAACTTGCTTACCCTCTGTATTCAATGTACTTGTAGATGCATCCAGCAATCAGTATGACAAACAAAGCATAGAACCAAGATGAGACAAACATGAGGGAGAGACTCAGGCTCATCCCAAGGAAAGAGAGGGACCTGCAGACATCCAATGGTGCATTAATACAAGCAAACATTAACTCTAACCGCTCCATTCTACCTCAACTCACATGTAAATGGAACTAATAACCATTACACTACACCTATTTGGTTAATGAAAAACCCATGTCCATGTAACAGCATGACATTGTTAGCATGTAGGAAAACAGAATGTGCACTGCAGCAACAAAGCTGTTCATTGTTCCCTTGGAAATTATTAAGTGTGACTTGCCAGTGGTAGAACTTGAATCTTGGCCTCCAATTTGGGGTGCGTAGAAGTGTTTGGACAGCACAGGCCAGGTTTACAAAGAGGTAACACATCAAGAAAAACCTATAAAGTAGAAATTGAAATCAAGATTATTATAGCTAAATAAAACTAAAACCATAAAAAAAACTTGAATTAAAATAAATATTAGATGAAATAAAATTAAATTAAAAACACGTTAGCTTGCTAACATATCCAAGGAAACATTTATTATTTTAATTTCGTATAACTTTATGTACAACCAAAACTAAAATAAAAATGAATGAAAACTATATAGGCATTAAAAAAAATAAGGTGAACAAAAATTAAAATGGAACCGGAAAAAAACGATTCAACTATTAATTAAAACTATAATAGAAACTATTATAGTTTTAATTAATATTTGACTTTTAGTATCATCACCTTGTTTGGTAATGATACTAAAACACAAAATGAACAAACTGAGTAGCAAAACTGCATGTAATGGCCACAGTTATACAATTACTGCACCGAATTTTACTGACACACATTTTTATAAAACATATTAAATGACACATTTTAAAATAAAACTCCCTAAAAATGAATTTTAGGTCTGTTCATCAAAACATAATTTTGAAACAAATCTCTATTTGCCTGAAAGCTAAAATGATATTGGTGTAATCAACAGTTTTAAGGTAGAGAAACTGAATAATCATATGTAAAATAACGTCACTGACTAAATTATATACAGATTAATCTTGTTATATACAGAAATATACTGTTACACATGTGTTTTACTTATCAACTGTTTATGTTCACTTAAGACATAACCGACAATGTTACGAAGATACTCGTAAATATGGGCATGTTGACATATTTTTGTGTGAATATGTCCATTCAAGTGCATGAAGACATAAAAGAGAACTCAAATCAGTATTCATGCACTGAGAGGCGACTTTCTGGGCATGAGTTTGGGATGTGTGTTGCGCACAAAACTTCTCACACAGCGAGTACCGAATTGAGTTCTCTTTCGTGCCTTCTTGCAGTTTATTTATATTAGCTTACTAGACTTAAAAACACATGCAAATGATAAACTTTATTGACGATGCAGCACTGCCCGATCGAGACAGTTGACCACCCCACCACACCGCACTCACACACACAGATTCCACCTGGCCCTAGTTATATCACAAAGTAAAAGGTGAAAGCAAGGGGAACGCACTCACATTGACAGGATGGGAGCAACATCATCTAGGGAAGCGATGAGGATCCCAATCTCACAGATGGCTGCAGTTAGGAGTAAGGCCCAGGTTGGCTCACCATTAGCTTTACTATGACCAAACACCTGCCAATGAGACATAGGTCATGTAAGTTACATCACAGGATCAAGAAGACTATTCTCTCAACTGTGTTGCCCACTTTCTTCTTTCTATGTATTTTTTGTGAGCAAGAACGTTTCAAACAAACATCTGTGTGCCTTAAGACATGTAAAGGTGTGTTCAACTAATACAACATCACAAAAGGAAAGCCAGGGCATGTTGTTACCTGTAAGAATGGCATGATGCCATCTCTAGCTATAGCCTGAAGGATCCTGGGAGCACCAGTGAGGCTCTGTAGGCCCGCACCACAACATGAGAAAAATGAGCCAATCACAATCACCCATGAAGAAGGCCAAGCTAGTGTTGAAACAACTAGAGTGTTCTTAACTGAGACTCCATACCTATTACGAAACCAAGCATGCAAAAAAAAAACAAAAAAAACACAAAGAATGTATTACATGCAAAACTGTGACTGCAGGCCTTATCTGAATGGATTTATAAAGCACGATGTTATTATATATTATTATTATCATTACCAAATAGCACTTACTTGTCTCGCAACGCCACACCTTCAATACATGCTCCAAATAACACTACACAAGAAATGTCTGTTTAGCATGATTAAGGGGTTAAATAGTAAATTGATTATAAAATGAACAGTTTATTTTTTTCCCCTAGAGGCTTTATTTTTTTGCAGCAAAAAGATACAGATTAAGGAGGTGGTTGCAATAGCCATAATGGTGCCAGTGGGAATGGACCTCTGAGGGTCTCTAAGATCTCCAGACCTGTTCGATCCAGCCATGATTCCTGTGAAAATCAGAGAAAAACATTTGATATGTTTCATAATACTTTTAAAACACCCTTTCCACAATCACAAATGGTGAAGAAATTAATTTAACTACAGTTTTTCAGTAGGGTTTTTAAACCACATAGTTTTTAAACCACATAGTATTTTAAGTAGCGAGCCCTATTTTACTTATTTTAGGTAGCCAGGTAGTGTTGACAGGTTCTATAACATCACATTTATTCCTTTATGTTTACATATATAATTACATTAGGCTACGTATTTGTTGAACTCATGAACCAAGTCACCTGAACTGATTTATAGAAACGATCTGTGTTTACATTACCACTATTATGGGGCTTTTTGTCATTTTGGAAATTGAAAATCATAGTCCACACACGCATCTTCATTAAAGTCCCCGTGAAATCAAAATTGAACCTATTTACTTTGTTAGCGCATATTACTAGTCTTGTGGTGAACAATTAATCCGTGCAAGTGAATATATATTAAAAATATGTTTTACCTTAGTAATCTTTAATCAAAATCTGAAAAGTTACTTCCGGTCTGGAACGGTTTCTTTTTCTGATGACGTAGGTTTCACAGTTTGGGTGGGGAAACGCTTAACCACTCCCCTCAAACCGTTAGTTTGCTATGAGCGAGAGATGGAGAGGAGGAGCGCTAGAGTAAAACCCTGCCCTCTGTTCAATATTCCGTTTCACTTGGAAATACGTCACAGCACTGGAGAAAAATCGTTTGCAACTTCCGGTTCACCCCTTTTCAGCTCTGCGCTCGTTGTGTTTTGTCTTCCGATCTGTATTTTCACAGTGATCTTGCTATTTATGAATGAACGGCTCGTTTTAAAATCTTCCCGGTCTACTAACATTTGTTAAGACATCTGCTTTAAACATTACAATCCCCATGATAACTTTCGTTAACTTTACATTAAGTAAATCCACTTCAAAAGCTAATTACTCCTGGACAGTAATGCCATAGAGACAGAGCGACCGTAAAAAAAACGGAAGTTCAAAGACAATATTCTAAAGATGGCGGTGCCCTTGTTTTTCTGGCGCATAAGGTATATATACTGAATGGCCAGTACTACGAAAATGTGCCTTTCTACAGAAGTTTGGAATTACATGGTAAAGGTGAGTAGATAAAAAACATTTTGTTTTCTATTTCTGTTTCTTTGTTTGTTTGTTTTTTGTAAACTATACCTGTTACTGAGGGGAAGTAGATTCCAACCAGAAGGGTGAAGAAGGTGGTGATGTCATTGAGGACATAAGGCCTTGACATGTTCTTGTCAGAGTTATCTGAAGCCCATTCTGATCTCTGTCCCTTCTTCTCCACTATTGCCTCGTATTGTCCATAGTGTCCCCACATGTTCTCTAGAAAGGAGAAACAGTAATACTTAGCAAATAACACTTGATTTCCACTTAGTTACCTAATTGAAGTCTTATGTTTGAGAAAATGAATCATCTGATAAAACAAATTAGCTGAGTTTGCTTAATTTTGTTATCATTAAATGGGGTGGTGTATAATTACTTGTGTGAGTAAAATAAGATGTGTATAGTTTGCTGTGTTTTTGTATTTGAGAATTCACCTGATATGACATTATTGCGCAAGCCAGGAACAGCCTCAATCACTGTCAAATTGTTAAGGGTGAAGTACTCATCACATGTTGCATTTCCTAAGTCACCTTGGCAAAAAAGTTTCCACACTTCGGTAGGGCGGGTTACATTGTCGATGACCTCCGTCTTTTCACACTTGTCAAAATTAGAATTTTTCAAGGTGCGGTTGCCTAGTAGACAGATTCTGTTGAAGCACACGAGAGCATAGGGTAATTAATTGTGTAATTAAATTTGCTCCATAACATCTCATATAGGTGATCTTAAAATTGTAAACACCTTTATCATATTTCAATTGAATACTGAGCCATAGGCATTTCAAGTTTTCATTTCGTTTTTTGCTTGTTTTTTGTGTTTATGTCCATGTAAAAAAAAAAAAAAAAATCACAGCATTACTCACTTAAAATTGGATTCCTTTAATGCGCTTTGGATGACACCTGCGTAAATGGCCATAATTGACAGCACTACACAGGACAGGAAGATTAAGGCCAGTTTGTTGACATATTTAACTCCAACAAACACTACCAGGGTCATGATAGCTAAACAGCATGTGCCATAAATACGCATGTTATTTTGCATCCAATATGGCTCCTCCTCTCCAAACACATTGGCAGTGGGCATGATGTATGTCTGTAGCAGGGTATAAAAGGAAAGAGAGAAAAAATTTGAAATGAATCCGATATTTGAGGTTATGTAATTAGGACAATGTAAGAGTAAGTTGATCGAATCAGCTGACTTGTGTTAGCTCAGGGCTGACAAACTCTTCTGCGGTGCCAAATGAGCACTGTATTTTCTCACAAGAAATGGTTAATGTTGGTGCATAAGTTTTGTCTCACCAAAAAAATTTCCATGGTTCCTAATATATACATAGATCCTGCAAATGTGGTGCCCAGGTAGAAACACAGACCCACTGCTCCTCCAAACTCTGGGCCTAATGCTCTGGAAATCATGTAGTATGAGCCACCAGCTAAAGTGGGAAGAGAATCAAGTTGACTTGAAACGAATATGGAGTAAATAAAAATAATATATAGAACATAACAGATTGAAATCATACCAGGCACTACACCATTAGTCGCAATGGCACTCATTGAAATTGCAGTCAGCATGGTCTATGGATGAAGAAAAGGACTGATGTAAAACAAAACTTATATATGCTTGCTTGCAGGGTAATTATACTTTTTAGTTTAGTTTTTATTTCTATTTTACTCACAATTTGGTTTAATTTTTGTTAGGTTTCACTATCATCAGTTTAAATTATTTCAGGGCTTTCTAGTTTCAGTTTGTGTTTAGGGCTAATGTTAAATTTTTCATCGGGGTCTAATGATATTGCTATTCTACGTAACTTTTCACTCTAGTGGTTATTTAAAACAAAACTTTATCTAGCAGAAGAACATTGTTATATTATTACATCATTATAGTTATATCAAAGTTTATTTGGGTAAAGACATGATTAAAGATGTATATTTTTACACTCACATTTATAACATTTTGTTCATTTTTATAAAAAAAGTTATAGTATAGCTTTAATGCACACTAGTAGCAATCATTTAATTACGTTAAGTCTTAATTATGAATTAAGTTTTATAAGATACACAAACCCAAAATGAAATTAATTTGTGATCATTTATATTTTCATAAAATTAGCTTTAGTTTATCACAGTCATGTTAGTCTCAAATTTGAAAAACCCAACACCAGGCTTTGAACAGGACAGTACAATTCTTCCACACACCAGACCTTGTTAGCCATATTAATCTAGATCTGTATTTGAGGCATGCTGAAACTGTTGCCACAATGTTTGAAGCACATAGTTCTGTAGGATTTGTGTGTTCTATAGAATCAAGATTTGTCTTTACTTAAAGAGAGAGTGTTGACATTCTTTTGTCACATTTTTCCTTTTGTGTGTGAGACAAAATTGCATTGAAACAATGATTGAAGAAATGCCTTGATGTGTCTTTTCGCACATATACTCTAGGTCTGGGGTTTACTCTAAACAGTGGACCTCTCTTCGGACAACTGCTCTATCAACTTTGAAAACCCCTGCTCTAGGTAAACCAGGTTAGTGAGTCCAAAAAAAATTCTTTTATATTGTCAATGGGAAAAACTCACACAAGAACAGCACATAAAGATGATAGCAAGGGCCTCCATGATCCCCGCAGTACCCACTATCCACGTGAGCCGCAGGAACAGAATTACACCCAGAATGTTCTGCATGCAGGGCAGGAACACACCTATAAAAGTTCCCATCTGAGGGCCCTTCAAACAGATTGACACACAAAGCAAAACAATTTAAGCTATGAAATTCCAGCAAAATGTCTGTTGAAGCTGAATTCAATGTGTTTTTGAGTCTCCTATCATCTCAGTGTGAGTCTGGTTGGAGACTCACCTTCACAGTGACTCTCTGAATCCCATCCTCACTCTCAGCCTCCTCATGCTCGACGACCCCCTGGGTTATGTTGGTGTAGTTGGCAAGTTTGTTGAGGAGGGATGACACCATCGGAGTGCTGTCCATCTCGTCCTGTGAGTAAAGACATACATACAAACAGCAGTGTGTTGTAATTTAGTAACAAAATAAATTTTAAATATAAAGTGCTCTAGCCGTGATAGAGGTGCTGTTTTAAGCAGTTTGATACCTCATAGAGAGCCATATTCTTGCCGTAGATGCTGTCATCATGATCTGTGCTAATTAAGGAGCTGGTTTCCCTGAGGGTATCCTCAACTGGCAAATGACAGGAAACATATATTTTAGTTTAGAGAGAGGATGACTTTCATTGTAAAGGCTAGAATGCTATACCTCTGGCATAATCGCTGAAGAGATTGAATGGACTGGCTGACTTTAAATGGTTACTGTGAAAAACTGGTGATCATAGAACTATGTGTTTTTATCTGAAATCTGTCAACTCAAACTGTTGAAAAACTTGCTCTAACTTTCAGAAACTAAATTCGACTCCTTTAGACTGCAAATCTGTGCAAAAAGACATGAAATGTACTGTAGGCCTACAAGTACAAAAAAACAATAAAACTGAAAGTGTTTACCGTATTTGACGAGACATGTTAATACTTGTCTTGGAAAAAAAACATTACAAAACTAGCATATTGTCACATAACTCTTCATCTGTTTTTAGTCAAGAAATAAATTTAAAACCTTTAATTTATTAGGTGCTGTTGAAACAAATCAGGCTCAAACTTTGAAATAACTTTAAATAATAATGACATTAAAGATTATTAAGATTAAGTATTTTCGTGTTCGTCAGCCTAAAAATTCGTCACGCATAGAAACCTTGCACACCGAGTCCGTTGCGTATTTCTTAAACCTTTGCGGGAAAAAACGCAAAAATACCAAATGGATTCGTCAAGCAGTGAGGATGATTTTTGCCCTCTCTCTTATTGAAAAGAGAAGAAAGAGAAAATATTACGTCCATCCAATCCTGAAATTGCGCCGAGAGGAAGGAGAGTTCCTTATCAAGGAGTTGCGAATTTATCCTGAGCGATTAAAAATTTACCTCAGAATGTCAGTGGGACGCTTTGCTAGCGATTCTGGAGCCACATATTAAAAACAAGACCACCAATTTCCGTGAACCAATCGATTCTGAACGGAGACTGGCAGTGTGTCTGAAATGGACCAGGTATGGACACACACACGGACAAACACACACCCTGGCACACAGCGCTGGGCAGACAGAACAGCTAGGCTGTTATTGTGTATATTGTGCCCAAATAATAGTTATCGAATAGGCTGCTCAATCACACCTTATTCGATCCTAAATTTCAATCTGATTGAAAGGGGAGGTTTATTAATTTCATAATCCAATATAGAGAAGAGAAGATAAACACTTGATCGAATTGAAAACCGAAACTGAAAGCACGGCGCATATGTGCAATGATTTGAGGACGAGCTCCCCCCGGCCCTGAATTGTCAAAAGACCTCTCAAAATGCTGGCTCTGGATGCGAAAAACGCAGAAAATCGAACCCGATCCGATTAATTTTATGACGGACGAAAGTTTCGGAGGCGGTGTGCAAGCGTGACTGACATAACGTGAGGTCGAATTTTTTTTTTAACGTGCGAAAATTTCGGATGCGAATTTCGGACTCGGTGTGCAATGGCCTTGAGTCTATGAAATGATTTGTTTTTGAAACGAGTCATTGGCTGTTTCGTAGTGACGTAGATACGAAACATAAGCATATTGGCCGTGCCCAGTTACTGCGCGCGCAGACGGGAGTGTAAACTTGAAATCTAGAACATAAATACTTCATCATAGCATCATGTCGAGAAGACGCTGTGTTCTACAATGCAAAGATAGTTCAGCCACTTTGATTTCATTTACCAGGGACGAACATGTGAAGAATTGGTGGTTAGATTTCATATTTGCAACGATACCACAACAGTATAGTCCGACGATTGTGTTCTCATCATTTTAATGACGAATCGTTCAAAAACATAAATGAATTCAAATGTGGATTCGCAAGCCGGTTGTTCCTGAAGGAGGTCTCAGTACTCAGTGTATATGGATCAACTTCCTCCTCCGAATCACAACCTGTAAGTATTATTAATAATTGTTGCTTTTATGGGTTTTGCAGCATCGGGGCGCGAGGGGGGAAGGCGCATTAAGTATGTGCGTGCGTGTGTGTGTAAGTTACGCTCAGTGCAGCTTCGGTCTCCAATGTCAATTTTTTTAAATGTGTGAAATGTTTGTCGCTGTTATTGGAGTTGTCATAAAGAATAGAGTGTCTTTTAGTACTGCAGTGCTTTATCAATATGTTTATGCGTTACGCTAACAAACAATAACTGACCAATCACCGCCGATTAGCGTCACGCAAAGGAGTGGTTTAGAAAAATGAGTCGTTGTACGAATCATTTGGGAGTCGGTGAGCAAATAAGGTAAAAATAAATGCATATTATAAGACAACAAAAGTGTTTTTTGTCATTGCATTCATGTAAAACTGTTGTTGGGGACTCCTAGAACAATATTAGGAATATTTTAAATGCCATAATAGGTGCCTTTTAAATAAGTGTTTAATGCCACTGATATACATTATACTGTTTATTATGCCATGATTTTTTGCATTCACCATTTTTCAACTAAAAGACACGAGAGAAGGTAAAATAAAAACAGATCATCAAGATAATTGTCCACCGGTATGATATGTTTAACAACTGTATGATCACCCAGAACACTTTTAATATATTTGAATCTGTTTATATCTACACCTAAACCCTCACAGCAGCAAATTTGTGAGCTGTACACGTCTATCGCACATGTGAATACCTCTGAAGATAAGAAACATAATGTGGCTGTAAAAATGAAATTGAAGGAAAACGATTTTCCATTATATAAAATTCCAAACACTCAACAAAACACCAAGTTGATTTAAAACTTTAAGCTTACTTGAGCCATTGTAATGATCTTTTGAAGATCCATATCAATGAGATTTAAACTCACCTATCGTCTGTGCATTCAACTCTGAATCACACTCCATGCTGAGAGGGAGACAAAGGCGTGAGTGCGTCTGAAGGTCTAGTGAGAACCTTTTTACCTAGTCTGTAGTTTGATTAAAACAGGAGACACTATGCCTCAGCTAAATGCTGTCTCCTCGGACGCAAAGCTGTCTTTTGAACAGCACTACTGCAGCTGATCTCATTTTAATTTCGATGCACTGCTAGTGGGATCAGTCTGTCTGTGTTCCAGCAGTTGTCCAAGTCTTGTACTTCTCGTATCTGATTGTCTCACACTTTCTTTCTTCTTTACTCATTATTTGGCTCCAGTACATGCTGTATGTTGACATCGGAGGTTTAACTGCAACATCAGACTGACTGGTGGCACTGAGCGCAAGTCTATAACTAACTATAAGCTTAACCTTAATGCAAACCCCACCCCACCACCAGCTCAACACCAACTTAGGTTGCTGTGACGTATGGTTATTATTGGAGAAGTGACTTGTGAGCAACTCGAGTAGGGGAGGGGAATTTCAGTTGAAACCCAGGCTGAATTAGAATATGCTCAGAAAGAAACTTTGAAATCCAGTTAATCGGCATGCTATGCTAGATATCATTTGTGTTATTCCAGAAACATTTTTAGAATGAGAGAAAGAGTATTAAGTGTCTCAGCATTTAAATATTTGATTGATGAGCATCTATTTAATTAAAAACAAGCTGTAAAACATATTTATTTAGTAGTTTATAAGAAAGCAGACTGTTAAAAAAGTCAACTGGGAAAAACAGCATTTAATTTCAGTATTCTATTTTCACATCTTTTTCCACTGTGAGAACAGAAAAATAGCAAACATTTGAAGTTAGAAAAATAGAATAGAACTTCTATAAATTTCTAGAATATCCTTTTCCTGTGAATTCTTTCCATGTGGCTTGTTAATTGCGTTTATAATCCTCTGCGCTGCTAGATTTGTATATGAATCATGAAATCCCAAAGGGACTAATTTGTGATGTTTTGAAAAAGCTCATACATGTATCAAGACCGGAATTAAAACGTATTACAGATTCACCCAAATCCAGTTTTGAAAACAATGCAGGGTATACATAGAGTGCAGTTCAAAAGTTTGGGGGTTTTAAATGTTTCTTAACAAGGCTGTGTGTATTTTGATCAATACAGTAAAAACATGTATAATGTTATAATGTAAAAAAATAATTATTTTAAATATTTTTTTTTTATTATAAATGTAATTTATTCCTGGAATAGCAAAGCTGAATTTTCAAAATAATTATTCCAGTCTTCAGTGTCACACAAACCTTCAGAAATCATTCTGATATGCTCATTTCATGTGCTGCTTAATAATTTTGTGGAAATCTTGATACACTTTCATTGATACACTTTCATTCTTTGATGAATAGAAAGTTCAAAACAGCATTTATTTGAAATATAAAAGTTTGTTACACGATGAATATCTTTACTGTCACTTTTGCAAGTTTGAGTTTTTCTCTCTCAATATTACAAACACACATATTTTTTTTGTAACACACATACTAACCACACTCGGACATCCATACCAACACACCCACACAATACCATTGCACAATGTATCCAATTGGCTCTATAATATGCCAAAGCAGAAAACAGGAATAAAGCGATTATTTGTTTTATAGGCCAAACCTGGAAAAATGGCACCATCTGATTAAAAAAAAAATTGTAAAAATTTAAGTTTTAAAGCCTTGCCAACAGAATGAAAGCTTCTTATAGATTGCATCATTTTAGTTAAATGAACCTGGGATTAAAAATGCAGTTTTAATGGGTTTCAATTGGGACATTTTTTTGTCCAAAAGGCGCTAAGTGGGAGTATTTTGTGTACCTAGTCCAAAAAAGATTTTTTTTTTAAGAAAATGGCAGTGAAATAGTAAAATTCCAATAAAAATACACAACTGTGCCAAATTTTATGCAGTAAGCATTAACACAGGCAAAGTGACCAAAAAACAAAACAAAACTGAAAGACAAAAATGCATAAGGAAGCACAAGTGTTAAACAGCATGTAGAAGATTGTGTACAACAGGTTTTTCAGCAGGTTTGTCCATGTTGATGGCACCTCATATACAGACCCTTTAATAATGAGATTATTTGATAGATTTAGTTTTAATGAATTAATTTAGTTTAATACATGTTTAATTTTGATAACATTTTATGAATTAAACAGCTTGTAAACATATTATCACTAGAGAAAATTACACATTAAATTATTGAGATCATTTAAGTCATTTGCTCCTTATACAGAGCCTTTTTAGCATAAAGGGTTCTTTATCATTGGGTCAAGAACCCCACTGAATCTTTTTTTTTTTTTTTTTTAAGATTTTATCAAATAAAATATATGATAAAAAATATAGACAGTAGGTTAATGAGGGTTACATTATCAACTGATAACACAATCTATACAAAACGCCTTCACAGCCACACAGCCAGTTTCACTTAAAAAAGGAAAAAGGAAACGGCACAATTAAACTTATTTTTGTCATGGAATGTTTTAAATAGGTCACTTTTATAGGAAGAAGAGAAATTCCATAATAATGAACCACAAGCTCTGCTACACGCCCATCATGTAAACACATAAAAGAAAAGATCTGGATTATGCAATTCTTAAGTGAATGTAAACGGATAACTATTAACTTTAAGATGTTTAAGCCTGTACCAATTGTGTGCCAAAAAACAGAATATAAAGGATCATCGACCAATAGGCTGTTGGCACCAGACCAAAACTTCTGAGAAACCGGACTTGACTTAAAATACCTGATGAATAAAATGACTCTCTTTTAGCTCTGATTTAAACTCTCAGCAAACCCGTCTCACTTTCTTCTGTGAAACATAAAATATCATTTTTACAATGTCTCAAGGTTTTTATTTATTTACTTTTAACCACACAGTCAAAGTCAGAGCTCACCAAAACTGTTAGGTTACCAATATTCTTAAAATATATTTTTGTTGTGCTCCAACATGAGCTTTGGACATTTAACTTTGAATGGAATCCACAAAAGAAAAAAGTTCAGAATAGAAGAATATTACAAGAACTATAGTTGTACAACAAGGTCTCTTTTGCTATGCACAAATGTGTGTAGCAATTTATCTAAAGATAAACACTGAAAAGACGTCAGAGTGAGAGAAACAGGAAAGTGGAAAAAGGGGCAACAGGAAACTGCTACTTGTTTACACTCCATGAGGATATGATTTCACAAACACATGCCAGTAAACAAGACTCACATTTGCTTTTCAGAATGCACTTACAAATACACTTGAGTTTTAAAAAAACAAGCCTTTAACAGGAAGCCTTTTAAAAGTTCTGCTCTTTTGTTTGCACATGTCTAGGCAGGATTCCCCCACCCCCAGAACGCTCTCACCTGAGTAGGGTTCTGCTACCATATCTGGCTCCTCCTTGTCCTCCTCTTTCAGTATATCCCCATCATAATCTGGATCTGATAATGGGGTATCCTCCACTGGCACCACTGTAAAGTTGGTTGGCATTTTCCCCTCACACCATGTGCTCTGTGTTTTGTTTTTTTTTGAGTCTTTTTCTCTCTGTCTCACCCCAAGTCTCCTGGGCTCGGCAGAGTTCGAAGTTCTCTGACTTTCTTCACAACTGTTGTTCAGACGTGGTAGCCCATGTGATCTCGTTCTTCCAAATAAGGAGCATTACACAACTCCTCCCTCTGGGCGACAGGCCGTTTTGTCCTGCCACAGAGCTCTGAGCTGGTGCTTCCTGTTTTTTTGTTAGCTGCCCTTCTCATTGTACCTGTGAAGACTGGGAGGGAGGTGATTGTTTGCCGTGTCAGAGTCATCTGCACACTTGTGATGGGAACAAAAGGCTTGACACAATGTGGCATTCCTCAACCCCAGCCCAATTCTGCCCCACCCCCTCCTGACGTTCTTAGCCTCAAAGGAAACGTGCAACAATCATTCCATTCAGGAACCATTAGGACTGGAGAGGAGTTAATGCTGGAAATAACTTTTCCTGAAAAGACTACCACTGCAACTACATGAATTTTAGGTTGACACTATCCCTTTGCACAACAAATTCGAATGTTGATCATTCAGTGAGTATGTGTGTGTGCGCATTTATTTGAAATATGCCTTGGCAATGACTTGTTATGTTTTCTGCTACAAGGTGTGTGCACAAGCATACCGTGACATGACTGATGGATACACGTGGACAACATGTTCATCAGTCATGTGAGAGAGGCTGATATGGGTCTCAACACTGGCATTTTGCTGAATTCATAGGAACAACCTGCATAGCAGCTGGTGAAACCTACTGTTGCCACTACAAACTGAGTTTGTTCTGTGGGGTCCAGCACATGATCACAACTGAAATGAATATGGAAAATGTTTTGTTGTTAGCAATTGATTAGAATACTTTTTCAGTGAAAAGGTTTTTTTTTTTCTCTCATGCTTACATATGCTGCCCTCTGTGGGTTGAAAGACTATAGTACTCTGTCTGTTTGCCCCCTTCCCCCTCCCCCCTCAACCCTCTCTCCTATGTGATTGACTGTGCAACCAGCAGATGGCAGCAGATACAGTTTTGGGGGTCTTGAAGAAGTTTCCAACTCCAGCACAAAAAAACCTACAGAACCAACTCAAACCTACCTACAGAACTTTCATTAAAGGAGTAGTTCACTTTTAAAAAAAAAATTGCTGATAATTTACCATGTCATCCAAGATGTCCATGTCATTCTTTCTTCAGTTGAAAAGAAATTAAGGTTTTTGATGAAAACATTCCTGGATTTTTCTCCATATAATGCACTTCACTGGGAACCAAACGGTTCAAGGTCCAAAAGATACTTTCAATGCAAACTGCAAACTGTTCAAAGGGCTTTAACAGGCGGTCAAATTATAACGTCGACTATGCAATACACTTTCATTTATTTAATGCTAATAAAATTATTAAGCCTATTTGGAGGGAGAGAGAGATGTTTATAATGTGACAATATGTCAGGCATTGTGTGATAACAAAAATATGTCTAGGTCTAAACTACTACTTGTTCTGAGCAGGTGTTGTCAGTGATCAGGCTGTAAAACCTAACACTCATGAAAAATTGATGCTAATTATCATTCTCTGTAACAGCAGTCAAGTTCTCTTTGTTTCAAACAAGTTGTGAATTTTTTGTAATTAAAACAGGAGATCATGACTTACTCTGTGCTCTAATGATGCTCTGAGCTCCAATGGTTAGTTTCCTTTCATTTGTGGGTAAACTAAACTTTCGGAAGATGTTGTAGCAGAATCACATGAACAAATCCAGGATTTTTTTTCATTGGTTGTTATGTTAAATCTTACCCAGATACAACAGTGCTCTTTTCTGATTGGCTATTGGTAGCACCTTTCTTTTTTTTTTTTTTTTTTTTTTTTTTTTTTTTTTTTGATTGGCTGAAAAGTGGCAGTTCGACTGCTGCCTGAACTCCAGGGGAAACGCACTTGATTCGGTTCCATAGTGAGAGCTATACATTTCAGAGAAAGTTTTACTCAATCTTTTCCACTGGCCAAATAGTATTTTTAATTGATTTATATTTTAATGGAAATAGATATGCCTTTGTTGTGCATTATTTCCACGAAACTATTTTCTCAGACAATCTGGCATTATCACGATAAGCAATTAGCCTATCTCTTAAAGTACAAAATCAATGTATTTTAAGTCCTCAAGAATTTTTACAATAATGTGTTTGCAAGCTGCCAGTTGTGTCTTTTTAAAATTCACATTTTCTATCCACATTTGTACATTTAGAAAACTTTTTTTAATCTACATTTCCTCCTTGGATCCCCATGGGTCTGCATACCCTGCCTGAATTAAAACACCGGTTCCAAACAAGCAAACCTATAGAGCATATCAAGAGGAACCATATTATCACATCTTTATGTTAAATATATACAGTACGTAAAGGTCATTTGCAAATACATGAAAATCATCTAGAAGTCACTGTATCCATGTTAGCCAAATACAGTATTAAAACATTTTCTTAGCTATTCTACTACCACTGTGAGTTAGTTTGCTCTTGTCTAATTTACAATCGCGGAATGGCGCTCTAAATCGGATTTGAGCTCGCTGAGCATTGGCACTCTGAAAGGTAACATCAGGATGAGTGAATCATGCGGTCCTCCACACCCTTGACTCCTTCCCCCTCCCCATCCATCATCTCACTTGCCTCTCCAGTCTCCATATTCACTATCAGTCTACTAGTCAATTTAGTTTGTAAGCGCTCCTAAACAGATATAGACTGTTTCTCAGCGTGTAGGAGCAAGTGATTGAGAAACTGGGACAGATTTGCATTAATTTGCAAACATTTGACTGAGCGAGCGCGACGACTCGCGCACTGACAGATTCAATGCGTAATAATTATTGTGAGACTTTCAAAGAGGCGCGCGCTCGTGTTGCTTTTACGTCGACGAGGTGTACACGAAAAGCCTGTGTGCATGTATGAGGGCAGTAGAGTCGATATTTCGCGCTTTTATAGATAAACAGAAGCTGAAGAGGAACTTGCTGAACTTTTTGGTCCCACTGAAATAGGACATCATGCCTGTTCGACGGGGACACGTTGCGCCCCAGAACACCTTTCTGGACACCATCATTCGCAAATTCGAGGGGCAGAGTAAGTGAAGACATGTTTATTTATTTATCAAACGTGCACTGAATGATGTTGATTGACGTCGATAATTTTTTAAATGATTGTTATTAGGATTTTTAGATTATTATAATTTTTTAAAAAGTGTCAGAATACTGTTAAAGGTTTAACATTTTGAAACGTTAACTCTTTAGAAATTTATCTCACAAAATGTCATATTGTATATCACTCTTAGCTAGTCAAGTTAAAACATACATCCTTTCATTCACAACAGCGGCTTGTTTTTTTTTTTTTTTTTTGGTTCTTCATGGATGTGATTAATGAATCTCTTGCACCTCTTTTTTATTGTCTCTCAAAAGATCGCAAATTCATCATCGCCAATGCTCGAGTTGAAAACTGTGCCATTATCTTCTGCAATGATGGCTTTTGCGGCATGTGCGGCTACACACGTGCAGAGGTCATGCAAAAGCCGTGTACATGCAGTTTTCTGTATGGACCGCATACTGGAAGACCAGCGATGGCCCAGATGGCCAAAGCCTTACTGGGCTCTGAAGAAAGAAAAGTGGAGATCTGTCTATACAGAAAAGATGGTACGTTTATGTGGGGGTGTTTCTTTAATGTTCATTTTTTTTTTAAACATTCATTTTGTAGAAGTCACAGTGACACTTAAAGGAGTAGTTCACTTTAAAAAAAACTTTTGCTGATAGTTTACTCACCCCCATGTCATCCAAGATATCCACGTCTTTCTTTCTTCAGTCGAAAAGAAATTAAGTTTTTTGATGAAAACATTCCAGGATTTTTTTTCCATATAATGGACTTCATTGGGAACCAAACAGTTCATTGTCCAAATGAGTTTCAGTGTAGCTTCAAATGGCTTTAAATGACACCAGATGATATATAAGGGTCTTATCTAGGACCCTTTGAGTCATGACTCGAAAAAAGATTTGTTAATTGTGTTGAACGAGTTCGAACAGGAGAGTCACGAACGCACATCACAGAACAGAGCAAGGCGAGCATTTGTGCTTATAACGTAAACTTTTTTATTTATTTTTTAAAAGTCTGATCGTTTTGCTAGATAAGACCCTTATTCATCGTCTGGTGTCGTTTAAAGCCCTTTGAAGCTGCACTGAAACTCTCATTTGGACCTTAAACCGTTTGGTTCCCATTGAAGTCCATTATATGGAGAAAATCCTGGAATGTTTTCATCAAAAACCTTAATTTTTTTTTCAACTGAAGAAAGAAAGACATGGACATCTTGGATGACATGGGGGTGAGTAAATTATAAGCAAAAGTTTTTTTTAAAAAGTGAACTATTCCTTTAAAAATGGCAACAAAATGGCTGTAATAGAGTAGGCTTTGTAAGCTCTACAACAGGCTATAAGTTCCTTTGACCTCAAGTTGATAAGAAATTAAATTTATGTATACATTTAGTTTCATAGTTTTGTCGATGAATTGCAACCTGCATTCTGTGTTTTGTTGGACCACTACTACTCATTCCCTGAACATTACATTATTTAATTTAGTTGAATCTTTATGTGACATTCATGGTGTCCCATGAAAATTGATCTTTGAGTATAGCATCCTTTATTGTGGATGCTCAACTTACTGAAAGTGCTATTCTAATTATTTCTATTTCTGTCCTCTCCTATTTAAAGACATCATTTCTGGATGATGTATTGATGTCCAGGACAGCTGGGAGTTTGAGAATAGGAACAATAGACATAGAAGACATAATTGCAAAGGACAATTTCTCACTATCCAGATCAATTCCCAGTGCTATATCCAAATGGTTGCATAAGGGCATCTCACAACATTGTGTCCTCTGTGGTGCTCAGGACAGAGGGCAATGCAGTGGGGATTTAAGTCTACGATAGATACAAGTTATCAACATTACAACATCCATGAGCTCCAGAAATGCTCTGGAGAATTGAAGAATATGCTAAAATGTTAACTGACCTGATACACACACTCATAGTCATAATCCATCCTAAGGTTTAGAATATCCAAGCACAGGGTATTTTTCCACTGATCTGGATGTTAGAAATACTTTCCAGTGTGACCCTTTGTAAACTAACCACCCTGAATTTCTCAGGTGTGCTCAGGCTACATTTAGTTGTTCCGAAATATGAGACTTCTCCGTTTTCTGACTTTCTTACATGCAAGTCTTCCTCTGTGTCGAAATCCTTAGACATGTTTGCGAAGATTGTTTTGTTTACAGCATGCGCCTCGGGAACATAAAACAACTGAAACAGAAAAACAAAGAGAAGCAAACTAAAAGTCCTTGATAATAAAACTAAAAACTATGACTGAATGTGACAAATAGGACATAAGACCAGAATTAAATTTTTATAATGTTCACACAATTATTGTGATGGCACTGAATATATTAATTTAATTGATTTTAAATAGCTATATTAAAGTCAACATCCTAAATTAAATTGTATTTAATTCCTTGAATTAATATCCCATGAATTTAAAAAGATCTGTAAACATTTGCAAGTCTCTAAAGTAGTTCATAAATAAAATGCTTACAGTTTAGATGCTGTCAATGTGTTAATAATGTAGAATCACACTTTACATATAAATACATGCTATATATTACTGAAGAAATCATGCTGCATTTGCGAATGTGTTTATGGGTTTCTCCTCTTTGTCAGTCGGATGCATTGTCACCCAAATTATATAATACAAATATAATTTTCTTTAAGGGGAAATGAAGCAGCCAATCATGTTATACTATAATCACAGTATAATCAACAATTATATAAGAATTGGCTTTAGTTTAGTCTAAAGGTTGGCTTTAGTTTAAAGGACCCCTGACATGAATTGTTCACTTTCTAAGGTTTTTTAACATTAATATGAGTTCCCCTAGTCTATATATGGTCCCCCAGTGGCTAGAAATTTCAATCGGTGTTAACCAAGCTTTAGCTATCTTTCTCTGCCTTTGAGAAAATGAAAGCTCAGACGAGCTGATCTTGAATCTCCCCTGTGTGACGTCATACGGAGGAAAGATAACGTCCCCTTTCTCTGCTTTGCCCGCTCAGAGAATGTGGCTCGCCCAATAGAAAATGAGCTAGGAAGTATGAACGCGCGAGTGCGATTTGAGTTTTTCCTCGAGAGATATCATGTTTTGCAGACGAGCGAAGCATGGCAGTAGATCAGTGTTCGGATCTACAAATGAACACAAAAGTATTTTTTTTTAGTTCCTTCATCCGAGCCTCTGAAGAAACAATGGGTTAGTTTTATTTCCTCTATGAACGTCTGGAAATAAATCATCGAGCTATCTAACAACAATTTCTGATGTGTAACTTAGCCTAATTGTTCAAGTTCAGACAGATAATCTTTCTCTCAAAATCTTTCAATAACCTATTGTTTATGCATAAGTCAAGCCAGTGACTAAAATATCAACTTCACATCATTTCTTTTAGAAGGATGAAAATAATTGTATTTAAATTGTGAACAAGTTACACAGAAAGCGATCAAACTCGTTATGAAATCAATGGCGCACATTTTTAAAATTATTTATAATGTGTCCTGGGGTGCACTTATAATATTAATATGATTTATACATCAAAAATAGTCACAATCTAAGGGACATGTATGCTGTGAGACTTCAGTGTAAACGGCCACTGCTGTGATTGGCTAACATCTTTGCATATGAAATAATTGAAATAATGTGGAACCCTCTCAAATACTTTTAAGTTTTTACTATCAGCTGTCGCGATTAACAAATCATGAAAAATATTGTTTATAGCATTACATTTAGATCTATTCCCATCACATGAAAGGTTGCACCGATGAGCATTGAGCAGATGACAGACAGTCTGTTGATCGTGTGAATGCAGTGAACTCATCATTGCAATGCTATTTCTGCACTCTTACGAATGTTTTCACCATAAATAACAATGCAAACACGATGTAAATACAGTGAGAGCTTCACTGTGAAGTGTAACAGTGTCATTGATGAGGGGAGTCCAGATAAATTGTTATTGATATGTTAGATGATTGTAAAGGGAGCATTCTTTGATCGCTTTCTGCATATAGTTTAATCACAATTTAAATAACAGATTATTTTCATGTTACTAAGAGAAACAATGTTAAGTTGATCGTTTATTCACTGGCTTTATTTTTCTGATGCATAAACAATATTGAACAATTTTGAGTTAAAGAAAATCTGTCGGAACTTGAATACGACTGTTTAAAGCCAGCCGGAACATAAATGAATTTGCGCTTACTCACAAAGATAATGTTCAAACGAATATGCATTTATTAACAAAAATATAGTGAAAACCAGAAACAAAGGGATTAAATTCAGGAGTGGACAAGGCCAAAATAATTTTAAAAAATAACTAGTTTAGTACCCTCTAAATTTTCAAAAAAAAAAAAATCACATCAAAAGAAAAATACAATGCAACTTCCCTAACTCCCTAAACATATACTGTATGCAAAAGAAATGGCACTCCCTACTTCCCCTAAATTGAGTATTTACAAATATTATTTGTAAATATATATTAATTTGTAATATTTTCAATATAACTAAAGGCCAGAGTAATTACACATATTCGCCTCCATAGAGTGTTTGGGGTGGTCCTTTTTAATGGAACCAAAATTAGACCAATCAGAATCAGACCAATGAGGATCTCTGCTGGCTTTAGTGCAGGCCACACCTTCTCCTGCAACAGAAACGCAAACACATACTTATAAAAGAAATAATCTGTAACAAATCACAGATCAGGCATTATAATAAACATGTTTAATTACATGTTTGTGGCGTTGCTGATGGATCCATATCGTAAAAGTCTTTTTTTTTTAATCCTGGGCGAAATCTTTGACTCTAAGAGTCTATGATCTATGAGTCCAAGCATAAATACAAGAAGATGTGGACGTGTTATAAATGTGTAGCTGGCTATAGTCCAGAGGATCATTTATTACTGAAAACTAATGTGAGGTAATGAAGGTGTCATGGTCAGTAATAACGTCCTACAGTCTGGAGAGGACTACTGAAAGTTTTTACACAAATTACCTGCTGAAAGGACACATGAAAAGCTCCTCCGAGGGAACTTTGAAGGATAATGATGGTTCAGCGAAAAGCTGCGATACACAGAAAGGCCATGGGGAAATATTCAAAACCTTCTGAGGATAAAACTACTTTAATCAGCATATATAACAGTTTTGTTTCATGAACCTCAACAAATACTGCCTTCTCGTTATTTTATCCAGTGCACAAATGGCCGTTTTTCCGTAAAAGCACTCTTGTTGCCACAAATATCCTTGCCTCCGAAGACAGTTCTTGGGAAGGACGTTGAAAGCATGAGCGTGGAACTAATGGTGGTTGCACAAGTAATCCTTCAACACAAAAGAGCAATTCCAAAGTCGACTCAATTAGTGAAATTGCCCACCCCTTTTTAAAGTCTGTTGGCCCTATGAGGTTTAACTATGAAGAAAATGATTGTGAACTGTATAAAGCATAGCAGATTATCACTTAATAATGACCCCTGGGGCAGTTTGTACTCTTGCAGTAAATGATCTGGGGACGACTTTTAACAGGAACTTCCCATTTCAAACTTTGCTTACATTTTTTTCTTTACCTTAATGAGATAACAGAACCTCATTAGTTTGAGCTTATTTTTGATAAAAAAATAATTGTATTATTCTTTTTTACTTCAAGGAATATTTCACCAAAATGAACACCAAACAACATTTATTTGTTGCATGCCCTTCATGATGAGTTATTTATAGTAGAATAACCAAGTTGCTTTTTTTTAATAAAACCTTATGGTGAGCACCATGACAGTATGTCAAGGCAGGGCAAATTTTTCATCTGTTCTTCACTCCACGAGCACACACACACACACACACACACACATTATTATATGACTTCAGAACGTTCTGAAATAAAGTGCTGCATACGTCATATGTACCAATTTTTTGCTAATGCTTTTTATCCTTTCGGTAGCTTGTCAGGCTATGATCACTGTCTGTCCAAATGTGAATATTTGTGTATCCGATTGGAATCTGATCGAAATTATTGACTCTTCACACTGTGTATCGCAATTGTTCAGATTTCTGTGCCCCCTGGTGCTTGTTTTCCGGAATATCTGCATTGGTTTCTATGGCAATGACGTAGCGTTCGTAGGCATACTCCAAAAACAACAACAGAAATGTGGAGGGGTTTGCTATACAGATGTTGCCTTATTTACTACATGAAAATGTGGAGGCGATGCGCTGGACTACCGCGTCAGAATCAGATTTGGACTGACAGCCTGAACGAAGTCTCTGGTCCCCATTCACTTTCATTGAACTTAAGTTAAAGGGCGTTCACATTTAGCCCAATTAAAGGTGCAATGTGTAAAATTTTTTAGTATCTATTAACAGAAATGCAATTCGACATCCATAACTATGTTTTCATTGGTGTATAAAGAACTTACTTAAATAAACTGTAATGTTTTTATTACCTTAAAATGAGACATTTATATCTACATAACCACGGGCACCCCCTTCTTTGAACATCAACATATCGTGACGTCATGTTTCTACTGTAGCCGAACGCAAACAAACAGCGCTACAGACCGCGTTTCGTCACTACTTTGGAAGAGAAGCCGCAGAAACCTAGAAGTTAGCGATAGACACCGTGAGTAGTGACTTTTCCCTTCACCAACCGGTCGATCGTGGTCGACAAGTGGATCGCAAAGAGTTTTCAAAATCAGAGAAAAAAAGCCTGTTGTTAGACTCCATTGTACAACAAGCAAATTAAAATGATTTATTATTCACAATATGGAAAGAGGATACAACATAGTTCGATAAGAGCATGTCTCAAAAATGCCATTTATGGGCTTATTCAAGTCCTCTTTTATTTATTTTTTTTACTTATTTTTACCCGTTCCCCATCTCCCATATGTGTGTTTTGGCAAGGCGGGATGTGTTGCGAGATGCTGCAATAAATCGGGAGACGTGTGGGTCAGACATGATTATGACCAATTTAATTAAGTTTTGTTTTGTAGAAAGCCTTTCTAAAAATTGACCTTCGTTTTGTATAATTTGTATCTTATTTTTAATCAATGTTTTATCAACCAATTCCCTGGATTTAATGAATAAGCAGATATAGCAGACAATATTAATATAATATTATAGCCAATATTAGACTATATCGGCGAGATTGCATTGCTCGTGAACTGGAGCTCTTCATGAATGAACCAAAACTCAGTGTTTAAGCTGACTCACAGACACGAGAAATATATAGAAAGCTTGTAAATGTAAAATCTTAAACGAAACAATTCAAAACGAAAAGAAACCGACTAGTCTCTGCTTATGTAAGTGCATTTCTCTCTAATTACTGCGGTCACTATGCAGGCGACACAGACACTAATACTAATAAACAATTAAAATGTCTCCTTGATATATTTGAAACATTCATAATCATTACTTTTGCCGGTTCCTTGTGACAGCTTTTGATTTGTGCAGTGGCCTTTATTTATCTTAATTTAGGCCTGGTGTTGTATGTTGTGCACCGGAGGACACGGTTTATGCCAAATGTGCAAATATGTTAAATCCTAGCGTGCAGGCGTGAAATGTGAATCATAGCTTTATAAAAGATAAAATAATCTAAATATAATAACATGAGCAGTAACAACAATATTTATTATAACAAGGCAGAACTGCTGAATAATCAAAACGGTCTAAAACATGAGTGTAACAAGGAGAGGTCCAATGGAAAACCTCGGTTCAGTGCAAAAGCAAAGGATGACCCTGCTCATCTGTCTTCATATTCTGGTAATGGCCTCCTCTGCTATAATTAGACAGAGTAATAACTGAAACCATCTCTAGGAGTTAATTATTTAAATGTCCGTCCTTCATCCCTGAACTCGCATCAGAAAGCCCTCTTCAGCGTTCAGCTGAGTTTGGAGTTTCTTAAAAGATGCTGATAGACTTAATTGACTTTTTTTTTGTTTGCATGTTGGTAACCTGATCTTGCAGTTGATATAACCATAGGATCAAAGTTAGAGTCAAACTTTCTGAATGCTTTATAAGTGAAAATGATCAAATATGTTGTATGTTGCAATATCATCCTGTAGTCTATTTATATTTTTATCTTGTTTAGTTATTATATATACTGTATATATTATTATTATTATTATTATTATTAGAGCATTGCATTTAAAGCTTTTGTTTGGCACTTTGTTGACTACATTGTGTTTGCTTGTGATGTGCCAACAGTTCAAAATTTGTTTCACATGTCAAATTCTGAGGTATTTTCAGAGCTGCCAGTGTAACATGAACGTTGGCTGGCTTGTAGTTGCTGTTTTTCTGAAAGTAGTCATGAATAGGCTATTATCTAAATTTGCATGTAATTTGTTTTATTATGATATTCAAATCCTACGAGTAAATCGTGAGGATAAGGAAGGACAAGGACACACACTGACGATATAGAGCTGCCTGAATCGTCTAGCTTTCTTTATTGCAGCAGGTATTCAAAATAATAAACACTTGTCCAACATTCAAGTTGAAAAGCTGCATGAGATCTATCACTGTAGAGTTATGCAAATTTCATCATTTATTTGCAACTCGTTCATGAGTGCATAAATCCCTTGGCTGATGTGTATTTGTTTATTAAGTTTCCTTGCTAATTTGATTTCTGCAAAGATGAGACAGATATAGTGTGTACAGGTAAAGATAGAATATATTTTTTGCTTTCTTGGTGACATCAGAAAGTGAGTCAGCAAGTGAGTTCAGTTCACTTAAGGCTGTGACGGATTCTATGTAGGCCACTACATGGAATGTAAAACACTGAAAACAACAAATGAAAAACAACATATCAACATTATCAGGACACTAAATGCCTTGTTAATCTGCAAATGACGAACCTTGGTGATAGACCAAGGCCACAAAAAACATTTCAAAATGATTAATTAGTCTTTTCTCTCTTCTAAAAGGCCATGTGATTTTCTCATTATAATGGCTGCTTTTCTGGAATATCTGACAACACAGGATGAAAATGATACAGTGCATCTAAAACTGAATCCTCATGACAGACAAGAGGATGTGGTGGAGAGGAGGAGAAAGATGAGAGCGTGTGTCAGGCTTTAGAGCCACTAAATCCCATTATTAATTTCAGTTTTCTATGGTGCTTATGTTCTTATGAAAACAATACAATTTCCTCCGGTGGCATTAACCTCTGTCCTTGGTACTGAAAAAGTCAAAATCCGATTTAGTTTGTTAGGTTTTCAAATGAAAGCTTGTCTTTTTTTTCTTCATGGATGTAAACAGACCTTGACATTTGCAAATTAAAGCACAAGTTAATCTTGAGAATGTGTGTGAGCATCTCTTAAAAGCAAATTTGACACATTGACCTGGTCACACTCTTTTGTGTTTGTTGTATCTTGCAACTTTTTTAATATAAAATGTATTTGCCCCATAAATAACCTGTATAATAACACACCAGCATTTGTTCTCCCCTGTATTGGTCTGGTATCTTATACACTGTGAAGATTATGACGCAGAAGATGCCGGTGTTAAGCAGCAGATGATTATGCTCTCTGTGACTGTGTTTTACAGAAGCAGATGCTGCTGGTATGAATGAAATGATTTACAGAGGAATAAAGAAGTGCTTCACTTTTTAATCCCAGGGAGATGGCACCATGTTCCATTGTCGTCCTGCCTGCCCTTGAGTTCATCTCTGTTGTGAACCACTCCTGGCTATCAATGCTGGCCCGTCAGACTGGCACAGAGAGGGGCTGATTGGTTTGGCAGTATGAAAGAGCACACTGCCAATGAGGGACGGCAATTAGTTGCCAGAGTGAACAGTCAGGGCTCAGGACATCTGCCAAGCTGGTTATCACAGACCTTATACGCACTCATAGATTGTGATAGCTTTTGTGACAAACGGGTTGTGAAATAATAATTAATCCACTTAAATACTTGTCATCTGTCTGAATCTACTGTGTTTGGAATCTATTGTTGTATGCTGCCCTCTAGTGGTGACAGAAACATAATGAAGAGGTTTTTTTCTGTTCTGATGTCAAGAGACCCCAGATTTTGGACATTATTGCAAATTTTCAGATCTCTCCCTTCTCAACGCAGGTGTTTGTTTGCCGTGCCTTGTGGATGTGGTTCCAGTTAAGAATGAGGAAGGTTTAGTCATCATGTTCATCCTGAACTTTGAGATAGCGGGTCAGTCGGACAGACCCATCGACAGCTCACCGGCCAGACACATCAACCACAAACACACCATCCCCTGGCTCTCTAAAGGTACTCAGATCGGACTGACAGATTTAATTCATTACATTATATTGTGTTTGCATTTTAGATTTGGTCTTGCTTCCTCACGTTTGTAAAGAATGTGTGACAATTATGTCCAAGAATATTTTGTATTGTACAATTAAATGATGAGATTTAGTAGAAGTTCCTTGTACTTAAAGGATTGTAAGTTTAAATTCAAGAGAATCAATGAAATTGTTTCTTTACTTTTACATATGTGTCTGTCTGTCTGTCAGTCAGTCAGTAATGGAAGCTTGTTTCCACCATGGAATAATTTTACAAGATAATTGCTACATGTTGTGCAACTTTTTTCTCAGAATTGCGAGATATAAATTCGCAATTGCATGTTATAAAGTCAGAGTTGCGACATGTAAACTGCAATAAATTGATACAAAGTCGCAATTACCTTTTTTAATTTTTTATTCGGTGCCAGAAACAGCTTTCGTAGTCTGTCTATCTGGCTTACTGAAAATGTTGAGTAATTTATGTAATAATAATAATACATTCTATTTGTAATGTTTAGAGATCAAAGAAATCTCAAAGTGCTACAGTTGCAAGGGGTTTAAAACAACAAAATCAACAAATAGCATTGAAACACCATGAAAAAATAATTAAAACCATGATTGTTAAAAAGCCTTTTGAATGTAAACAGTCCTGTGAACACTGTTGTTTCCTGTTGCGTCATGGCATTGTTAAATGCTTTTCTTTAGAGATCCACCAAATGGTGGTATTTATTGGTAGACTTGTTAGACTATATTGTCAAAATCTATTTGAATTATTATTTCATGTTTTCGCTGGCAAAACATCTATATCTACACTGTAAAAAAATATTTTCAAGATTTGTTATCACAACATATTTTCTTTTGTCAATTCAACTTTATAATAATTTATTTAGTCGAGATAACTTATTATTTTGAGTTTCTAATGATTAAATTAATCTCCTTCATTGTTTTAACTCACTTTTTCAAGTTCAATCAACTTAAAATTTTAAGGCAACCCAAGTTAAACCAACAATATTTTTTTACAGTGTAGTAATCACAACATTTTTTTCTTTTGTCAAATCAACTTTAATAATTTATTTAGTTCAGATAACATATAATTTTCAGTTTCTGATGATTAAATCATTCTCCTTCATTGTATTAACTCACTTTTTCCAGTTCAATGAACTTAAAATTTTAAGGCAACCAGGTTACTTACTTTAAGTCAAACCATCAATATTTTTTTACAGTGTAATATAATGGCATATTTATATGCTGCTTGCAAAACATTTTTATAGTGTCACTCACAACACACCTATTTTTTAAATGGCGATAATGAAGATGTTTTTAGACTGCAGGATGGTTACAGCATAGCTATAGCATGTATGGGACCCCAATTAATGAGCTACCATGATTCTGTTTGAATTATGCAATGTAACGATGATCTGATAAAACACTTAACTTCCTGTGTTCACAGCAAGAAGACACAAACTCAGGTTGCCTTTGCCCCTGCTACGCTCCCTGAGTGGCAGTAAACAGTCTCTGCATGACGATTCTGAAAAAGGCTACATGCAGCCAATGCCCCATATGGGCCACGAGTCTGTAGCCCTGGACAAACTGCTCTCCCTGCCTGAACGCTCTGCACTCGGGGGATCTCAGCTGTTATGGGAAGATAAGGCTCAAAATGAGCCTGAAATTGAGCCGCGGCCATCAGAAGGGTCCCCTCCCCTGCCCCAGGGCTTCTCCCAGTCCTCCCTGCGTCTGCGCAACCTTACCTCAGAGGCCTGTCCGTCCAGTTGCAGTATGGCTCACAGTCGCTCCTGTGAGAGCCTGTGCGGCATGCGGCCTTCACCCTCCACCACTGACTTCAACTGGGACAGGAAGCTGCCCGTCAGACCTAGTAGCACAGGTGATGATAGAAGCAATTGGCCAATTAGCCAAAGACCAAGTGATATAAGATAGTAGTACCGACATGTTGCCGGTTGGACATGTACAGTCCAATAAACAGTATAAAAGTCTATTAGTATTCCAGAGAGCCATGTAACAATTTAAAACAAATACGTGCAAAATTATATGATGAGATTAATTAGACCTTTGTTCATTTTTTTTTTTCTTCTTCTAGGCGCCATGCACCGCAAAGCCAGCTTACAGAATGCTACTTCTGACTCAGATCTCATTCGGCTCCGGACCTCAGTTCGGGGTCCTCAAATGCCACACAACTTAGATATGAAGCCGGACCCCTTAATTGCTGTTCCGCCTAGTGAGATTGACATCCTCGCCCCCTGCAAACTAATAGACCGGACCCATAATGTGACAGAGAAGGTCACTCAGGTGAGGTTTTTCACTCATACGGTTGCAGGGTGGAAGTGTATTGTGAGCAAAAAGCCTTGTGACTCATTAAGAATGTGTTTTATTGAGAATCATTGAGAACGTGATTCTTTAAAACTGCTCAATGACAAAATAGGGAATTTGCAGGAATGTTAAATTTCGTCATTAGTTAAATTAGAGTCATTACGTCACATCTGTACACATACAGAAGGAGTCTCGGCTAGTATGAGCTTTATTGCTTGTGAAGATGATGGAGGTGGAGATTTAAAGCCTTTTCTCACAGCACTTGATATGTTTAAAGTTAGAAATTTGATGGTGGATCCAGAAAGGTTCAAACGACAATCACACAATCAATCAGTATCCACATCGGCGTGGTGACTGACAGCCTCACAGTCTCCTCAAACATCGTGTTCATCCACGCTGTGCCGTGTCGAGGGTGTTGAAGTACAACTCACATAAATTTGATAATTCTGCATTTCGAACAGAGAGGACAACAAAGAGGAAAAACGGCAGACTGCGGCTTTAAATAAGGGCATTATTTTAGGGAACAGCTCTTTGTAGTGCTGTCCAAATGTGCAACCGATAATGCAGTGTGAATACCCATAATGCACTGTGACAGAGTTCAAGACAAATCTGTTTATCTTACTACTGGAGCTGCCAGTTTGATGAGCTTCAAATAATTATTAAACAGAAAGCACAAACTTCTGGCACACTCAGTGTCCGAATTCACTCACTCGTTTTCATTCACTCCCTCAAGTAAACTATATATAGGCCTATCACTACATATCAGGGCTTTATTACCTTATCACCTTCACTGCCCCATATGATGAACTTGAAGTAGATGTTGCAGTGGTTTACCAGTTTTTTTCTATCCAGTTGGTGGCAGTAGAAACATCTTTATGGAATACATGTGCATGTAGTAGTGAATATTTTGGTAACACTTGTAATGCATTATAATGGCATTCATAATATAATGCATTAAATATTTTCATAAATAAGTGTAGCCAGCATTAAAATCCATTATAATATTTACAGATGCCTTGTTAAATCTGCAATTGGCTGTTTTCCATGTGTTTTAATGCATTATGCTTTCATAAGGTATGAGGTAGTATTACAATATAACTGTGGTTACAATTATTCATGAGACCATACAAGGCATTATAAGGTGCAATAAAAAGGCATAATTAATGCATTATATAGAAATGCTTCAGGCAGTGTTAACGAGAATTTAAACACTGGTCTCGGGGAATTCTCAGAAACAATGTAAAAAAAAAAGTAGATAATGCATATACAGTTCATTCTGTATAATGCATCTACAGTTCATTCGCGCAGTCTTTTATAATTGTTCTACTGGAATATCTCATACCTGAGATTAATGTAGCATCCTTGTCAGAGTCAAATAGACCACTGCACACGACTGGCTGAACAGACACTTGCCCCGCATTCCCGTTTGAAGGGCATTGCAACAGAGCACAGAGGGAATGAGGTCATGCCAAAGGTCACATGGCACATGCCGCGAGGTGTCCTTCCATTTTCAGCTAAGCTATCTGGATGCCCCATGACAGAAAGATCTATATCTCCTCAACTGAGCAGCCATTAGCACTGATGTGAGTGTGTTCAGAGATGCTTAGTCATTTGTCTCTGTTTAGACCAGTGCCCTGTTGACATAATCAGTATTATCACTATTTAGGAGTAGATTTAATTTAATTGAAGTTCATACACCCATTATATATCTAAATATTATTTAAAAAAGTGTTTTTCATAGTAGTAGTTTAGTTTTTTGTTTTTTCAAGTCTTGCATATCATATTTTTTTCTTTATAGCTACACTGTGTGATTTTTACCCCATCTAGCTATGAAAAGGTATATGACCATTTCTGTTCCTCTCAATTCCGATTTCGTTTTAACTCCTACGGTGGCCAATGTAGTCCAAGATTAACATGGCTTCCAGTTTGACCTCGTCCATGAGTGTTAACTCAAACGTAAACGCGAAAGGTGAAGCTTGAATTAACGGATTTGTCCCTCTTTGGCTAATGTACTTTCAAGATGGAGGGGCAACATGGTGACCGACATTAGAACCCCTTACCCGTATGTATTTTCAATGGCATATTATAACTCACGAGAATACTTTATTACTTGAACAAAGTAAATATACATTAATGAGCACATATATTTTTGAAAGAACTAAGTGTTTTTAGCTAAGAATAAACTAAAAGAGTTACACAGTGTAGCTTTAAAAGTAATACTTTTATTCAGCAAGGATGCATTAAATTATTCAAAAAGGGATAGTAAAGATTTACATTATAATGTTTTAAAAAATACATTTCAAATAAATGCTGTTCTTTTGAACTTTATATTCATAAAAGAATCCTATAAAAGGTGGTTTCCTCAAAAATGTTAAACACAACCCGTTTTCAACACATTGAAAATAATAACAACTGTTACTTGAGCAAAAAATTGGCGTATTAGAATGATTTCTGAAGGATGTGACGCTGAACACTGGAGTAATAATGCTGAAAATTCAGTTTCACCATCATAGGAATGAATAATATCTTAAAATACAAAGTATTTTAAAGAGACCTCTTTAAAAAAAAAAAACATAAACTCTTACCAAAACTAAACTTTTGTACTGTCTGCAGTGTATTTAAAATTGATTATTTACATTTTTATTTGAATTAAACCGATTAATTTAGCTTTTTTTTCAGTCCAGACAGTGTTTTTGTTTCTTGTAATGGAGGTGTTTTCACCAAGGGGGTAATCCACCAGCCGGAAACTGAAGTCTCCCCGAGGGCCACCATTGGCTAGCAAGCCTTCACCTCCTTTTAGCATTCCATTGACTCCCATTCATTTTGGCGTCACTTTGACAGCGAATAACTTTAAATCTAAGGTGTTTAAAGATTCAATTTGTCCATTGTTTATTTCTAAACAAACACGACAATGTCTAAAAGGCCCCTTTACGTTTTTGTAAATATAGGCTAACGATTACGTCATAACATAATATGGTAATTTCCAATGCATTCTCATCCTTTAGCGTCATATGTGACGCTATATGACAAAACGGCCAAATACTATGCACATGGCACTCATTATAGTTAATATAATAACACGCGCTGTGATGGGTAGGTTTAGGTGTGGGGTAGGGTAGGGTAGTCTCATATTACGCTAAAGGATTTATGACGCCTTGGGCTCGCGTGCTATATAAACGATAAAGGGTGCCATGTGCGTAGTATTTCGCCGTTTTGTCATATAGTGTCACATATGACGCTAAAGGATGAAAACGGGCTGTAATTTCTCTCTGTTGCACTGTAGAGAAATTATCATATAGGCATAAAGTCAAGGGAGAAGCCCATAGAGAGTCATTAGGTTGCTCCTGCTGCTAGCTCTTGGACAGCTAATACTCACGATCTCCGACTCTTCAAGATTCGCAAGGGAATGATTCAGATTCCTCTTGGCACAGCTACTAGAAGACGCACAACTGCAAGACAGGTTGCTCATGTCACATCTACATCATCAAGCTCAGTTTGAGCATGCGCAGTGCGCTTGGCAATCAGTAAGTGAGTTCTTCTAATTGACTTCACTTTTCTCCGTTGAAGTCTATGAGGTCGCTGTGTCCATTTCTTTTACTGTCTATGGTTTTCACGGAGTTGTGTTTTGCACATGTGACTCGCAGCTGCTATTGGTGAATTTGCTGATGTCTTTGCTGGGGAACTTCTAACCTTATTTTGGTTAATGTTACATATATGCTGTAGGGAAATAGAGGGATACCTCCTCATCCCCTTCCTTTTCCTCTGTCTGTCCTATCGTAGAAGTGGCATCCCTCTGGTGCTTCTCTCCAGAGTCCTGAGAATTAAAGCGTCATAATAACAATGACTGGAGGCTTGAGCTCTCAACAACAAGCCTATTCTCTTTCCATCAGAAACTCTTAATTATTTCCCCGTTTTTGTATTTATGTTTGGGTGGGTGGGTGAAATTGTTGGGTGGAGCGACAAAAACTGTTTAGTTAATGAATTATGCAGCATGGAAATGCTACTGTGACGATCGAGCTGTATTTGATCGTAGAAAAAAAATCATGAGAGAGTGCCCTGCAGTCCTTTGCGTGCACTTTCGCATGCACACATTTCTCCCTTTCACTCACTGACAATGTGCTGATGTCATTACAGTTTCCTTAGCCTCCACTAACCATATGGCTAATCCTGAAATGATGCTGATAGATATTCATTCAGAGACCATGCAAATAAAGCTAATGAAGCAACTGAGCCACTTCAGGTGAAGTTGTGTGACTTAATGGGTTCCCCATTATGAGCTTTTCACAGGATGCGTTCTTGCATTTAAAAACAACTAGAGGAAGCCAAATGGACTGAACAGTTTTAAAAAGACATTTTAAAGTGTGATTCTGAACCACTTTGTATTGCAGTGCTTATGAAGGGAGATGCTGACAAAACAGTGAAACATTCTCTCCAAATGAGCGGTTCCAGATTACGCAAGAGTAGGGGGAAGCCCCGCCCTTGACTAGTGACAATCTGCCCTATTAGCATAGATACCACACTGAGTGTGCTGCAACAGTCCGCTATTTCTGTTTCCTCAGTGTAGCAGCTGGAGATATACAATGGCTGCTCCAAAAAAAAAATATTACAAATGTTCTGTTATTGGATGTTCTCAATAGACTCCCGGCATCTGAGCCACTGAGCCTAGTAGACACCCTCGTCTAATTTCATTTATGTATGAAGGAATGAAGGAAATGTTAAAGTGTTATATATTTACGCAAATTATTTTACGCCCGACTGCTTTACAAAAGAGGGTCAGTTAAACGCTGGATTGGAAAGTTGTTTATGAATTTTTGTTTTTTGATTAACATGACGGTACATGTTAGTTGATGAGTTGAGTCAACTTAACTCCATGTATCCACTAACCATTTAGAAATGTCCAGTTGCATTCTAAAAGTTGTAACTTCATCCTGAGTCTCTCCATCAGTGTCCGACTCCGGTGTCGGTGTCTGACTTTTTGG